AATTAGTTTGTTACCATAAAGCTGTAGTTGAATCTGAATATGAAATATCTCTGTCATTCTATACATGTTATTGACTCCTGACAGACAAAAGCCTGCTCAATCAATACCTCAGCTGATCACAACCTCACTCAGGTGTAGTTGATGTTATTATGCTATTCACACTTAATTTTGCATTAAAGGAACATCATCAATAAATATTTCTATCTTTTCTTTTCTCTATGGGATATCTTTTGTTAATATCAACATAAGTTAAAGGGACATAATCAGTTATGTTTTAATTGATCCGTTAAAGGAACAACTTTTTAAAAAAATCCTTTAAAGAGAAATTATCTCTTTTGTCAATATTACCATTACTTACAGGGACATAATCTGTTGTTTGAGAAATAGAGCAAATTCTTTAAAATCCTAATTCTCCATTAGGAATGATTACGGTAGATATTGCCCAAATTTGGTCAGAAGTATTCTCAGGTGAAGAGGAACAAAGTTTGAGGCTGAAGGGGAATAGGGTTGGGGGAAGGGTGAGCCCAAGAAGGGGTGGGCCTAATTGGGAAATTGTAATTTCTTAAAAGTCCCTCTTCCACTCAAAGGTATTATTCAAGTTTGATCTGATGAAATTCTTATGAATAGTGAATATGACCTGTGTTTGACCACAATTGCAGAACCCAATAGGGAAATTATATCAGAAGCTGTTTGTCATACTTGAAATTCTTAATTAAATGGCTGAATAGCTAAACTAGTCAGGTGAGCAATACAGACCTTTGGGTTTCATTTACTTTCAAATGTGAGTCATAGAAATTCTATATAACATATCCATAGAATCAAATAAGTTCATTTATATTGATATGTTTTCTTAACCCAACTATATTTCAATATGAACACTTTAATTTTTTTCTTGACAGACTTGAAATCCCATAGAGAAGACTTTTAGTTTGGTGGATGTTGCTGCAACCTTTACTGTTCCTGGCTGTGGGGATCCTGGTTCTACTGGGTGTGAACACAAGCAGTAAGTGTTTCTCTTGACTGGGGGTCCTTGTTCTACTGGGTGTGAACACTAGCAGTTAGTGTTTCTCCCAGTGCCTTGATGAGGATTTTAATATTCACTCAGTGCTCTGATGAGGACATCAAATATATTGGAGATAACTGTACATAAAATATAACATTAAGTAATCATTTAACACAGTGAAAAGATGATGTCCCCAAGACATGTTTTTCTCATGGAAAATGTCATAAATCATCTTGTTGTAAATTATACAGATTTTGGAGTTGTCTACCACCTGTCTATAACTACCAGGATGATATTACCACCTTGCAATAATCACTTCCTCTCTGTGTCTACCACCTGTCTATAACTACCAGGATGATATTACCACCTTACAATAATCACTTCCTGTCTGTGTCTACCACCTGGCAATAACTACCAGGATGATATTACCACCTTGCAATAATTACTGCCTTTCTGTGTCTACCACCTGTCTATAACTACCAGGATGATATTACCACCTTACAATACTTACTTCCTGTCTGTGTCTACCACCTGTCTATATCAACCAGGCTGATATTTTCACCTTACAATAATTACTGCCTTTCTGTGTCTACCACCTGTCTATAACAACAAGGATGATATTACCACCTTGCAATAATTACTTCCTGTCTGTGTCTACCACCTGTCTATAACAACAAGGATGATATTACCACCTTGCAATAATTACTGCCTTTCTGTGTCTATCACCTGTCTATAACAACCACATGTCTTATGCCCATTACCTATCTTTAACTGTCTGCAACTATGAGTCCTGTATATATATATTTACCACATGTCTTTAAATGTCTACAACTACCACCTGTCTACATTGAAAATATCTTCCTGTATATATCTTCCAGTGGCTGTCCTCAGCTACCACCTGCCTATATTTACCTGTTTATCTGTCTATAACTCCACCTGTCTATATTAACCATTTGTGTGACTGTCTAAAAATACCACCTGTCTGTTTTAACAGATGTGTTTATCTGTCTATAACTCCACTTGTCTATATTTACCACCTGTATCGTTATATATAAATGCCACATGTTTATAACTGGCTATAACTATCACCTGTCTATAAACTACCACCTTTGTGACTGGCTATATCTATCACCTGTCTATAAACTACCACCTTTGTGACTGGCTATAACTATCACCTGTCTATAAACTACCACCTTTGTGACTGCCTATAACTGCCACTTGTCTACAACAGTCAATATCTATCACCTGTTTATAAACTACCACCTCTGTGACTGGCTATATCTATCACCTGTCTATAAACTACCACCTTTGTGACTGCCTATAACTGCCACTTGTCTATAACAGTCAATATATATTACCTGTCTATAAACTACCACCTTTGTGACTGGCTATATCTATCACCTGTCTATAAACTACTACCTCTGTGACTGGCTATATCTATCACCTGTCTATAAACTACCACCTTTGTTACTGGCTATATCTATCACCTGTCTATAAACTACCACCTCTGTGACAGGCTATATCTATCACCTGTCTATAAACTACCATCTCTGTGACTGGCTATATCTATCACCTGTCTATAAACTACCACCTCTGTGACTGGCTATATCTATCACCTGTCTATAGACTACAACCTCTGTGACTGGCTATATCTATCACCTGTCTATAGACTACCACCTCTGTGACTGGCTATATCTATCACCTGTCTATAGACTACCACCTCTGTGACTGGCTATATCTATCACCTGTCTATAGACTACCACCTCTGTGACTGGCTATATCTATCACCTGTCTATAGACTACAACCTCTGTGACTGGCTATATCTATCACCTGTCTATAGACTACTACCTCTGTGACTGGCTATATCTATCACCTGTCTATAGACTACCACCTCTGTGACTGGCTATATCTATCACCTGTCTATAGACTACCACCTCTGTGACTGGCTATATCTATCACCTGTCTATAAACTACCACCTTTGTGACTGCCTATAACTGCCACTTGTCTATAACAGTCAATATATATTACCTGTCTATAAACTACCACCTTTGTGACTGGCTATATCTATCACCTGTCTATAAACTACTACCTCTGTGACTGGCTATATCTATCACCTGTCTATAAACTACCACCTTTGTTACTGGCTATATCTATCACCTGTCTATAAACTACCACCTCTGTGACAGGCTATATCTATCACCTGTCTATAAACTACCATCTCTGTGACTGGCTATATCTATCACCTGTCTATTAACTACCACCTCTGTGACTGGCTATATCTATCACCTGTCTATAGACTACCACCTCTGTGACTGGCTATATCTATCACCTGTCTATAGACTACCACCTCTGTGACTGGCTATATCTATCACCTGTCTATAGACTACAACCTCTGTGACTGGCTATATCTATCACCTGTCTATAGACTACCACCTCTGTGACTGGCTATATCTATCACCTGTCTATAGACTACCACCTCTGTGACTGGCTATATCTATCACCTGTCTATAGACTACCACCTCTGTGACTGGCTATATCTATCACCTGTCTATAAACTACCACCTTTGTGACTGCCTATAACTGCCACTTGTCTATAACAGTCAATATATATTACCTGTCTATAAACTACCACCTTTGTGACTGGCTATATCTATCACCTGTCTATAAACTACTACCTCTGTGACTGGCTATATCTATCACCTGTCTATAAACTACCACCTTTGTTACTGGCTATATCTATCACCTGTCTATAAACTACCACCTCTGTGACAGGCTATATCTATCACCTGTCTATAAACTACCATCTCTGTGACTGGCTATATCTATCACCTGTCTATAAACTACCACCTCTGTGACTGGCTATATCTATCACCTGTCTATAGACTACCACCTCTGTGACTGGCTATATCTATCACCTGTCTATAGACTACTACCTCTGTGACTGGCTATATCTATCACCTGTCTATAGACTACCACCTTTGTTACTGGCTATATCTATCACCTGTCTATAAACTACCACCTCTGTGACAGGCTATATCTATCACCTGTCTATAGACTACTACCTCTGTGACTGGCTATATCTATCACCTGTCTATAGACTACCACCTCTGTGACTGGCTATATCTATCACCTGTCTATAGACTACTACCTCTGTGACTGGCTATATCTATCACCTGTCTATAGACTACCACCTCTGTGACTGGCTATATCTATCACCTGTCTATAGACTACCACCTCTGTGACTGGCTATATCTATCACCTGTCTATAGACTACCACCTCTGTGACTGGCTATATCTACCTTCTGTCTACATAGTTCACTTTTCTGTTACTTATTACTACCTGTCTGTAATTATCTGTGGACCACAAAATATTACAAAAAATTATACACAGACCATAATTTTTATCGAATAAATAGGAAGTTATTAGTCAACTCATGAAGAGGGGGAAAATTGACAGTAAAGATCCTAATAAAATAAATAGAACAGATCACAAACAGCATCCATAGTGCTTGAGTATACAGTCCTGGAATCATCAATCACTGCTGTAGAGAATGTAACATCCTGTCTGTGCTGCAGTAAAATGGTATTGATTGGTTTTTTTTTCTGAGTCTTTTTACCTGGTGAAACTGATGTAATCAATGTACATGCATGTACATATATAAAATACCTTACTGATTTACAATAATACCTGGTCATACAATTTACAATAGATATGTATGTGTATGTTGTATGAATATTTACTATGGTGTATTGTCAGTATCTCTTGCTAATGCTGCACAGTTCAAATGTCAATTTCTACAGGAATGAAATTTTCTGAACAAAGGTATAATGTTTTAATTTTTTTTATGATTGAATTCTAATAAGGTTTTTAAAACAATTAAATGACATCACAAAACGACAACAACAGAGTGCATCCATAAAAATTATCGACAGCTAGTGTGATGTACTGTTAATTTCAACATTTCATGTGAAAACCACGATATCAACTTTTAGCCATGTCCTATTATTTCATTGAAGAGCTAAAACGTAAATTACATTGTCCTGTTGAAATATTCAATCTTATGGCAAAAATAGTGAAAATTCACGAATGGAAAATCCTGTTATATAGTACGTATGGTACCACAATATTTTTTCAAAAAACAATAATATTAATTTTTTAACAAAAGTTTCATGTAGGTTTATACCACAAATCGTTTTTGATGTGCTAATTTAAAATGTGTTATTTAATTGACAGGTGCCCAGACATGTAATCCCTCTTGCACAGCCAGCCAGTATTGTACTTTCTACTCAGGAGGGGACAGTAGTACTCCACAGACTATAGCTGTATGTGCTGGTAAGAACAGACATTGAGGATCTGCCATGTTTTGTCATTACCCGATACTATAAAAAATTTGGTCTATGTTTGAGAAAAAATCTTTGGGAATAACCAGTCTTGTATTTCCATTTAGATATTTAGCAAATTTACTTGTTGAAATCAGGTAGCCTCTGAAACACTGTAGTCTTGCTGTTATATGTTTAGTTTATAGCAGCATTTTGAGTCGAATCTTACTGTCACGTCAGTTACATGATTTTCTTATCTGTTGTTTAAACAATATGAAAAAGAAATCATATCTCTGGTATATGTTTAAACAAATGGAATTTCACATGCCATGTTCTATATCTATCGTACATTCTACTGAAATGATGAATATGAATGGAGTAGAATCACATATACCAGGCATAGATGTTTCTTGTTGGTTTGAAGAAACTGCCACAGATATATTGGTAGTGTTCCAGTACAGTCCTGATATAACTAAAATTAATTATATCTAGTCATATGCTTTAAGTCATAATTGCAAGAATTCCTTCAAGTTGGTAGTATGAGACTGTATTCAAGATATTAGTATAATATAGTATTAGATAATAGTAGAAATTTTGAATTTTATATATGGGCTTGCCAAAAAATATGTAGGGCAGCTTATGACAAATCAATTAAGAGGTAAGTTGTAGACAATTAATTGTGAAACCATCTCCAGATCTAGAGAGCTGAAACAACATCAAGCTATTTTACTTGAATTTTGTGTTGTATTAGAAATCACCATATATGTTTCGTGAGTGCTGTTTTTCAAGTTATCAATTCTGGAAATTTGAATACATAGATTAATTCCCAAATTTGTACTTGAAAGGATTACGTTGATTCATTAATTATAAATAGCGATTAAAGAAATTAATACATTTCAGTTGTAAAGTTTGAACTTGATTATTCACAAAAAATCTTTTCATGAATTATTTGCAGAAATAAAATCCCTCACAAAATATAGTTGATTTACGATTTCATAAATATGCATGACATGCAGTTACATTTTAATGTTATTTTGCCAGCAGTGTTTTTTTTTTTATCTGTTATTTTTATTTTTATTTGTTTGTTTGTTCAGACTGTGACAATGCATGTGCCCAGGGATGTTCAGCTGCTGGAGCTGGGTCATGTGACCAGTGTAAAACAGTTGGTTACTATAACGACTCAGGAACATGCAGAGGTACTGTATTTACATGTGTCTGAACTGATACTTTTATTAATTGTTCAACACTTCCATTTTAATGTACTTGATTGTGAGACTTGGAAATGTACAAGTGAAAGATTATCAATATGAAGTCCAACTCGGCTGTTGTTCCTGGCGTCATTTGCGTGACATATCTGGTCACGGATGTCATTAATGATCATCATAATAGTGCTTGATAATGATTTTAAAGGAGCAATTTACTCATGGTCAAACATGATCATAATATCTTGAATCAATTTCATCGACCAATTAAATAGTTTACGTTACAGTTTGTACATCGCAAATGAGTTACAGTACCAAAACACATTATATTGATGACTTCGTGATCAGATTTGTAAATCAGTTACCACCAGAAATCCTCATTTCATGAACGTATTACTTTTAAGGAAAACTGCATACCTGGTACAATTAATCTATAATGTTAAAAGTTTTCTAAATTTGAGATTGTCATTTCAAAAACCATATGAATATAGTGAAAAAACAATAATGTAATCTACCTCGTCTATTTTTTTGTGGTATTAATCCATTATTTAAAAAAAACAACTAAAATACAAAACAAAAACAAAAAAAATTTCTATCAGTTCATATCCAGAAATCATCATTTGAGATCTACCGTAGAGAAATAAGTGCTATACAAGATTTTCCACTAAATTTCTTTAATTAACAGACTCTTACTTATGAGAAATCACACAGCTGATCTCCCAGTCAGTCAAAAATATTACATACAGTTTTATACATATGAATGTACAAGTACAATTGTAATGAAATACATTATATGAATTCCTTAGCTAAAGTATTGGTGATTTGATACCATGATTATATCTGGTACGACAAGCTCAGAAATAGACTCTCATGTATTTATTTCAGTTTGAATATAATTGGTAGGACAAGCTCAGAAATAGACTCTCATGTATTTATTTCAGTTTGAATATAATTGGTAGGACAAGCTCAGAAACAGTCTGTCATGTATTTATTTCAGTTGGAATATAATTGGTAGGACAAGCTCAGAAATAGACTCTCATGTATTTATTTCAGTTGGAATATAATTGGTAGGACAAGCTCAGAAACAGTCTGTCATGTATTTATTTCAGTTGGAATATAATTTGTAGGACAAGCTCAGAAACAGTCTGTCATGTATTTATTTCAGTTGGAATATAATTGGTAGGACAAGCTCAGAAACAGTCTGTCATGTATTTATTTCAATTTGAATATAATTGGTAGGACAAGCTCAGAAACAGTCTGTCATGTATTTATTTCAGTTGGAATATAATTGGTAGGACAAGCTCAGAAACAGTCTGTCATGTATTTATTTCAGTTGGAATATAATTGGTAGGACAAGCTCAGAAACAGTCTGTCATGTATATATTTCAGTTGGAATTTAATTGGTAGGACAAGCTCAGAAACAGTCTGTCATGTATATATTTCAGTTGGAATATAATTGGTAGGACAAGCTCAGAAACAGCCTGTCATGTATATATTTCAGTTGGAATATAATTGGTAGGACAAGCTCAGAAACAGTCTGTCATGTATATATTTCAGTTGGAATATAATTGGTAGGACAAGCTCAGAAACAGTCTGTCATGTATATATTTCAGTTGGAATATAATTGGTAGGACAAGCTCAGAAACAGTCTGTCATGTATATATTTCAGTTGGAATTTAATTGGTAGGACAAGCTCAGAAACAGTCTGTCATGTATATATTTCAGTTGAATGCTTAACAGAATTTAATTGTAAATAACAAAGAGCTTTTTCAACAGATTAATCATTTAATTGGATATTTCATTACAATATAGTGGAAAAATGCATGTTAAATAATTATTGATTGTGGATAGTGTTTTGTTGAATTTTCAGAAATGTGGACTTAAATGTAACACTTCAGCACAAATGTTAGATAACTGTGTTCTGACGGTTAAAGCCTTGGTCACACATGTGTTAAATAACGTATCTTAACCTACTTAGAAATAACTACGGAATTTGTAACTAAAAGTTTGTAAGTTAAAGAAGGTTAAACTTGGGCAAATAATGACAGTATTTACTTGTATAAGTCTGTAGAAAGACATTAATTACAGAGTAAATGGTTAATTAGGTGTAACTATGGCAAATTGGGAGGTTAATTATAAAGTTAGACTATGTTGAATTATGCTAAAATATGTGCAAGTAGTACATTAAAGTATGTTAAACTGCATTGGAACAAACAAAACAAAATCAAAGAACTTTCCAGTACACAGGATACAGTCATTGATGTAAAGAGCTTTTACGGTAAATAAAATGAAAAAGTAAGTTAACAAGAACCAAGATTTTTCCAAACGTCAAAAATCATCTTTTATGTTTAAGCTCTTCATATTTGTCATTTAAGGGCTTATAATGAGTAAACATAAAAGCAGTGATTTTATACTGTAATCGTCTACATAAGGGAAAGATTTTGATTGCAAGGATGTTATTAAACAATTTATAAACTCGTGCAGTCACTAGATGTCACATAAAATTACAAAGCAATGTTTTTTTTCTGTAGATTGTAACAAAGCTTGTACAACTTGTGATGGACCAGGTGTAACCCAGTGCAGTAGATGTGAGATAGGCTACCTACTTATTAGGACGGTCTGTCTAGGTAAAGGAGATAATCGTGATTTTCTGAAATAGTTGTAAAGAATCCAGACGTATGAATTAAATTTACTCATGTAAAAACGATAAGATATCAGTAATTGAAAAATATTTTCGCATACATGACTAAACCAAACCAATTATAAAGATATGTGACCTTCATTGAAAAACATTCAAAATAAAATTGATCTTAAGACCATAATGATCCTGGTCTCATTGTTTTATTTTCATTAGTTGATTATGGAATAAAGTTTTTTTTTGTTGTAGAGTGTAATGAGGGAACATTTGGTGAAAACTGTACTGGGGTTTGTCATTGTCTTCCGAACACTGGGGGCTGTTCCAATGTAGATGGGTCCTGCAGTTCTTTTCAGTGTGAATGGGGATACAAGGACCCACCACTTTGTCAAACAGGTAAGTGAAAACAAAAGCTGGAAAAAAATTTAAGTAATTGTAGATCTTAAAAACAGAAATTGCTTGGTCAGCTTTTTTTTACTGATTACATAAAATATGGAAGTAAATAATAACACTTCATCAAGCTACATAGTTTTTCAAACACTTATAACTATTCTTTACAGCTGAATGCTGTCATGTTGCTGATATAACTACTTTAATGATTTGATTTTAAGCAATGATGAAAAATCTCCCTACGAAATAAATGTCATTGATGAAAGCAGGGTTGATGATCATATTTTGTAGTTTGATCAGAAATGTTTCATGGAGAAAGAAGATGGTGGCACACAATTTTGTCAAAACGATGTGAATCAGTTTGAGCAATATATTGTAAATGTACATATTTTAGTGATTCTTGTACTGAAAGTATTGGGCTGAAATATGATTACACTAATTACGGTTTCTGTATGTTGTGCGATGGATTATGGATGCATAAATTTATCATTGCACTATGATTGTTTGCTAAAAGATGAAAATGCACAAAGCTTTGATTGCTATGTGCTGGACCTGTGTATTGTAAAGGTCATCTACATGTCTGCCCAGCTGACACGTGACACTTATGAAGTATGTGTGTTAAATGTACAATTGTACATATATGTTATTTTGTACCAATGAGCTGATGCTTAAGGAATGAAAAGAATCAAATTAAACTGAACTGAAATGCTGTAAATCACTTATAAATCAAATTAGATTTATTTTTGCATTGCTATGTGAGGAGAGTCAATAACGAATACAAATCTGTTGCAATTATTTGTACAAAAATAACTCGATGGCCTCCATGATGAGTTGGTTACTGATAACTGGGTCTCGAAGAGTCTATGCCTCTAATAGCTCATCATTTGCAGATTTAAAATAATTTCTAGATAAATGTTTTTCAAAATAAAGTATTTACAAATATACATGTATTTGAAGAGGTAAGTTCATGAAATTAAATATTCAAGAAATGTAAGTACTTTACAGGAGGTTTGCATTAGATAAGATTTAACTTATGTTGAATCACTGCTTGTTTCTGTTTACAGAATGTGTGGATCAGTTTGGAAAGAACTGTATATATGATTGTCATTGTCGAACCAATGCACAATGTAGCAAGATAAATGGCCACTGTTCCGATGGTCTTTGTGAAGAGGGGTATGCGGGCCCCGGCTGTCAGACAGGTAATTTTTGTCCTGCTAAAGTATAAAAGAAATGATCTATACCTTGAACTCTGTTTGCTCTAAATGTCAAGAAAAGAATACCAAACAATCAAATTGGCTGTAAAATCTTGACACACCTTTTTTCAGAATAGGGAAGCTGTTTATTTTCAACCTAGTTTAATTAACATATACATATAAAAATTTCATAATAACATATTTGAAGCAAAAGTGAGCGAAACTAAGTCATACTGGCCAAGGAGGCCAGGTGCTACCCGAGAGGCGAATGACAGCTCGAAATGAGCAAGACAACACACAATTGGGCGATCAAAACACACTAACGCAGTTGGTACAGAATGTTTTAAGTTCAGTGAGATGCCATTACTCCACTAGCAAGTGTAACAAACGGGCTTACAAAGCCACCAACGACTCCAAATCAAGTGGAGGCGAATCCAACCGCAGCAGTAGAAAATTGTCAAAACATGTTGTAAAACAGGTGAATAAGAAAATTACGTTGCAAATAAGAAAACTTCTAGAAAAAATTAAAAAATCAATATGGCGTCGAGGTATCTGAAAAATGCTGCTGAAGTGAGGTTTTCAATTGCCCCGCAGGGGCAAACTGACCCCAGGGCTGACAAATGGGGATCACTGAAGTCCAACAGGGGCCAATTATACTGACCAATCAGTGATCACTTGACTTAATTACCATACATACATTTACATATAAACTGAAACATTATGTACATAAAACCTAAGTATGTGTGAACCTTTACAATACAAAAATATGTCTATAAATAGACATTTGTCATTACAACATCAACATATGGGGAAGGATTTAAACCCTTATGTTGAACATACTTTTTAACTGTTTGTAGTGGAAATTTGAAAGTTTTGGCAACTGAAAATTACTTGGAAACCTGTCATGTTAAAATGAGCAATGGGAAGGGAGACAATCCATTATAATATTAGCAAATGAGCCCATAATGTATTTTCAACAATAATATTTGTGCTCTTCTTTATTTGAATACAAAATATTATATAACAAAATGCATATAGAACTTGACTGAGAGTACATATTTACAGTATAATCAATTTTCTGTTTTAATAGAAACCCTTAAGGATATAATATTGAATTGTCATGTGTACTATTGTGCATATACTAGTATTTTTATTTCTGTTTTATTCACAAGTGCATTGAAAATTTCATTTATAAATAATTTCAAGTATGGATCATCACCTTGACAAGCTTGTTACACTTGTTAATTTAACAGGAAACAACAAAATCTTCATATGAATGGAAATTGACTGTTTTTATTAAACTGCGTACTCATGGAAATGTACATATACAACACATTTCAGTAAATCCACACAAGTCTTTATTAACCGGTGTAAATGTTGTTTTGTACAACAGTTGACAAGTGTAAGATGGGGGTACAAATACACCCATTGAAATAACTTACCCTAAGGTGTGTAAAATACTTCTGGGGAAGTATTCTCTCTCCCCAATAAATTCTCCTCCAAGGCAGATGTTGGAAAAGTTATTGTAATTTGAACAGATGGTTCAGACCTTATAACCTCCATTGTGTCTGCAGGCCTCTGACCTCTGGACCAGTAAACACTTTCTTATATAGCATGTTATATACGGCAAATAATTAAAGCATCTATTGTCCCAATCATCACCTTTCATCAATATCGTCTGTTCATCCATCCTGAACGATATGGTTGAATTACAAAACCCATCAATAAAGTTCCGCTTGAGTAAACCAACATTTTAGGTCATTCATTAATTAATGTTTTGATTAAAATAAACACAAAAATTAAGACACAAACTCGTTCTGGAACATTCATAAATTACATTTAACAAAGTTTAATGAGTATTTATTTCAATTTTATCTATGATCTGTCAGAGTTGCCTCGACTTCGGCTCCCTCCAGCCATCACTGGGAATGAATGTGGTAATGTTACTGTGACATGGCAGGCATGGGATGGGAGGGTGGACAATGGACAGGGTCCCATCTACAGCTATCAGTAAGTTAATGTCTTTTATACCTTATTTAGTCGTTCATTCATTAAATGGAGTAATCTTCCAGTAATCAGACATTTCCTTGTCATTTTATTGTTGTTCTTCATTAAACAAAAAATTCTGTTGTTGTGAAAGCAGTAATATTCTTATTTATATATATACTCCTTGTAACATTGTTTCTTGAAATATCTTTAGAATATTTAAATTAATTTATCCGTTTCTTCCTTTCCATGAGGTAATGTGTAAATGTAGAATTTGCAGAATAACTGATTGAATGTAGTTTATGTAGCAATCATGACGTAATTCATATTTAATCCAGAATCTTAAGCAAGTTTGTGTTAAGCTAATTAAATCATTTTGAATCTGTTTATTGTATGCTATGATCAATTAGAGTATGGGCCAAGAGTGACAATGTGTCGGACAATGAGTGGTTCAAGATGCAGGAAATACCCAACGATGACACAACCACCTATGTTCAACACTTCACGGGACTTGACGCCAATTCCATGTACAAATTTCGTGTGGATGTTATTCCTAAAGATGGGACAAAACCTCTTAATGAAAAAATCTCTGGATTTGAAACTGTTTACTTTTCAGTAAAATGTATTGGTAAGTGTTTAATAACTCAGAATTTGATGTTATGATGAATTGAAGCAAAATTTTGCTATGTGTGATTTTGTTTCTTAAAAAATAATATACAGAAAATCTTACTTCATGATTGCATGATCATTGAATTTTTTCAAATGAATAAATTAGTGCATGGTTATCAGAAAAGTCTGTAAATGTTTTAAATGAAATAATTTAAACTACAGTCATATCGAATTAATGAAAGTTTTTCAATGTGTTGCATTGTTTATTCTCTCCAGCTAATGGTAAGATATATAAAAGTCTATTTAGTACGGAAATCTTTAAATAATATCCTGTTGCTTTTGATATAATAAACTGCTAATCATGGAGGTCTCTCATTACTTCCATTTTATCACATAATCCATCTTCTATCTAATGAATTTGCCTATGTAATATATGTCACTAGTGTACTGTAACTTGAGCATTTTTCATTGGTTGCACTAGTAAAAAATTGTTGGTGATGTCAAAATACAGACAATGACATTATATTGTGAATTGAAAACGGTGCATATTATGGCTGCCTCCATTTGAATTTTACCTCACATTTTGTCTATTTAACCAATCAAAATGTATCTTTAATGAATTATGTGATAAAAAGCTAGTGCCTTAAACTTGCTTTCATTTCATATGAAATTTCATCAAACTCAGAGTTTTAACTTGTGCTTGCCAGGGCTTGCAAAGATAAAAACTTTTAGGCTTCATGAAATCTCATCATGAAATGAAAACTCATTTAAGATCCTAGATATATTCAAAACATTTCTAATCTTTATATTTACATAATATTTACCTTATATGGAGTGAAAATGAAAAATAACAAGTACATTGTACATTTGATTTCATACTAAGTATAATGAGAGTTCTTTGTTGGTGGCGGTTGTGTTAGTGATGGCGTCTCATTAACTGGTACCTGGTCCAACATGTGGTGATCTACAACTGGCACCTCATGTGGTTCCTATAATATATGATGTGTGAAATATGTAAATGTCAGAAGTTGATCGTGTGTGTTATATTATCACAAGGTAAATACCACTTTCCGTGTAAACAAATTCTGAATTAAAACCAAAGTAAACAAATCACTAAGTGTATATTGGTTTACCTGTTCATTATATGATGATCTAAGATAAACATGTTTACATGATCAAGCCTTTGTATGATTACACAAGATATCAGTGATAATGATGAGACATCATTATGTTTGCCATCAAAGCTATGTGATTTACAATGACTACAAATGTCAAAACAATGCTTAATTTAATGTAAATGCTTCAAACAAAAATTTCTGTTCTTCAAAAAGCCTGGTTCACTGTTGATAATCTCTCAATGTCATTCTGTTTATACACTTCTGCTCAACTCACGGCCAGATTTCAGTAAAGAAACTTGGAAACTGGATCTATATTACACTTCAGGGCACTAGCCTTGTCTGTCAATATACTCCTGTACAAATGTTTGTATAATGAGAGTATCGACAAACCAAGCCAGTGCCTGTGTTACTCTTTTATAGATAATAGATTTCCATGTCACATCCTAGGGATACTCTAAGTCATCACCCTGGTCTGGTCTTTATAGACAAGTTCACATTTGGCATGTCTGGTCTTTATAGACAAGTTAACTTTCCCTTGAGAGGTCTTTATAAACAAACTTATCTTTCCATTGTCTTTATTGACAGTATTACCTTTCCCATGGGTAGTCTCAGAAGACAGGTTAACCTTTCCCTACACTGGTCTTTTTAGACAGGTTAACTTTCCCTTTGAAGGTCTTTATAAACAGACTTATCTTTCCCTTGTCTTTTTAGACATGTTTATCTTTCCCTTTAGTTGTCTTCATAGACACTTGGCATTTCTCTTGGATGGTCTTAATGGAAAGGTTAACATCCCCCTTATCTGGTCTTTATTGACAGTATAACCTTTCCCATTGGTGGTCTCTGTAGACAGGTTAACATTCCCCTAAACTGGTCTTTATAGACATGTTTTCTTTTCCATTGGCATGTCTATGCTCACAGGTTTAGACTTCCCTAGACTGGTGTTTGTAGAAAGATTTACTTTTCCTTTGGTTTGTTACTATAGACAGGGTTACCTTTCCCTAGACTGGTTTTTATAGGCAAGTTTCATGTATATCTATGTAAGTAAAGCCTTTGTTGCTAGAGATTCTAATATTCACACTGATCTTAACTTTGTAAATTGTAGTTAATAATGTCTTGACTTCAGAGTAACATATCTATTTTATTTCTCAAAATTATTTATATAGTACATGTATTTATGTGATTTATGTATTTGAATCACATGACATTTTTAATACTTTTGCCTCTTCTAGTCAGTTTGTCGTTTAAGTGAAAACTCATTGGAATCCGAGTTCAGATTGCCGAAGTTTTAGTCACATAATTAAGGGGATGTCATTATGGTTTGTTATTTGTTATCAGTTAATCAGGAAAATTATATAACATTTGCTGGATTTTGTATTGAATCTACAATATAAGACATTGATGGGCTTATCAAAAGGCATGGGCCTGGATACTGCTGGATAAATACATTAATGGGCTTATTACCAGTCATGGGCCTGGATATTGCTGGATAAATACATTGATGGGCTTATTACCAGGCATGGGCCTGGATATTGCTGGATAAATACATTGATGGGCTTATTACCAGTCATGGGCCTGGATATTGCTGGATAAATACATTGATGGGCTTATTACCAGGCATGGGCCTGGATATTGCTGGATAAATACATTGATGGGCTTATTACCAGTCATGAGCCTGGATATTGCTGGATAAATACATTGATGGGCTTATTACCAGTCATGAGCCTGGATATTGCTGGATAAATACATTGATGGGCTTATTACCAGTCATGGGCCTGGATATTGTTGGATAAATACATAGATGGGCTTATTACCAGGCATGGGCCTGGATATTGCTGGATAAATACATTGATGGGCTTATTACCAGTTATGGGCCTGGATATTGCTGGATAAATACATAGATGGGCTTATTACCAGTCATGGGCCTGGATATTGCTGGATAAATACACTAACTACAGTGGTTTTTTTGGGCTGTGTGATTGTGTAGGATTGTCTAAAATCTCCACTAACTATTAATTTGACAGCTATTAATGCTTTGATTTTCTTCATTGCTTTTATTAATGTGTTTTTTATTCAGTTCTTACAACTACCACAGTTAAACCAATGATAACAACAATTGAACCTTTACCAGGTAAATATTTCTGTACAATATATATCAGGTATAATTACCGCTATAGTTTTTACATACACAGGTGTACATAAACTCTGGTGGCCAGTAATATGTATGATGTAACACTAACCTTTTATGAAATATTTATCAAATAGTACTACTTTTGAGATATTCAGAAGTAAAACAATGTTAACTTTAACATACAGGTATATAGTACATTATCTATGGAAGGTATCATTTTTGTCCAAGTTCAGCATTTGTTCCTCAAATACATTTGTCAAGGTGCCTCCCATCTATAAGAGAAAAAGCAGCTGAGAAACATTTAAATGTCTAATATAATGACTTTATCCTTTCAGGATTTCACCTGACCAGTATTATATATTCTTTGATAAACAAGAGATTTATTTCTTTTCAAAAAAACATAAAATTATTTTTCAATGTACATAAATTAATTGAATTTGGAATTGTTACTCAATTCAAGACAAGATAGCATTATCTTTGATTGGCTTGTCTTTTATTGGATTGACATCATGTCTCCATTTCTATTTTGTTTGTCATTTTGATAGAGAAAATACTCAACAGTTTTGGTGTGATGGTAAACACAACTGATCTGTCCTTGTATGTCAACTGGACGCTAGAGGACGACCTGAGTGTATCCCTAGACAACCTTACGTTGCTTTATCGTGTGTCCAGAGTTCGCAGCTGTGGTGCAGATGACCTTAACTTAGACTTTCAAGCAATGTAAGCTTTCTTGATGGCTCTACACAAATGTTTTCAAATTAGCTGAAATAGTTTTTTAGCTCACCTGACCTAAAGGGAAAAGTGAGCTTACAGCTTAATGCGGTGTCCATCTGTCATCAAGGCAACATCCATCCATCAATCCACTTTTTCTACAATTATTCTGTGAAACTGAGCAGATTTGACCAAAAATGGTCAAAAGCATCCTTTGGGAAGTAGAGCAAATTTGGTATAAATGGAGGGTCCTGGCCTGCAGAGGACTGAGGGGGGCAAAAAGGGGAAAGTGTTTAAAAATTACTCCTCCCATAGGAATGAATTGGGGAATTCTTTAAATTCCTTCATCTTCTGTAGAAATGTCTGGATTCTGTCTGACACAGTAATTTGAAGGCCAGGGTGAAGAGGAATTTATTTTGTATAAACTGGCTTCTGGCCCCCATTCATTGAAATCTCTGCGAGAATATTTCTGCATTGATATGTATTTTGTTTTTCCCCTCAGTTCCTTATTGAACAATACAGGCCTAAGAATTTCGGATCTGTTGCCATGGAGAAAATATGAGTATAAAGTTTTTGTTTCAATTTCCCATGGGAATTTGTCAAACTCAAGGATGGAACAAGCAGGAGAATTCAACACACCTGCTACAGGTATGTACTAATCACATATAATTCATTCTGTGTTAACAAACATAAACTGGAATTTGGGTAGCTTTCATGATGGTACCTTTGAAGTCCAATGTAAGAAAAAGTAAGCATTTCATATATGTACTGCTAAGGTTATTTTCAGAAGATTCCATCTGTTTCTGATTGAAAAATACCACAAAAGTTAGATATCTGAAAAAATTAAAAAGAAAACTATTGTTTGTTTCCTTTTGCTTGACTTTACACAAACAATATCCTCATGACCTGATGACTTGAGCTTTTTGTATTTTCTATGAAAATTTCAACCCCACCCCAAGAAGAAAAAGAAGAAAAAAGAAACCCTCTTCTGGAAAAAGCAATAATTTCTCAATTACTTTACTTTCACTGACTACAGCCTTTACGGAATTCCATGAAGGTTGCGTATGAATAAACATCACTTTTTATTTTGAGGGCGATATTACATGACATTTTCCAGGCATTCAGAAGAAAGTTTCATTGTACGTTGTATAAATTTTTATTTTAACTTGAATAATTTTCTGTCTTTTATTTCAGCTCCAACAGGTCGTGTGATAGATTTGCGTGTGACTTCATCCTCAGCTACTTCAGGTTCCTTAGCCTGGAGTGAACCAGAATGCTTGAAAAGGAATGGAGAATTCAAGAATTATGAAATTTTGGTGAAGAATTTAAACATTTCTGCAGCTACTGCAACAACATATACAACTGTGCTGGAAAATTTTGACCTGTTAAATTTGTCCCCATTTACTGTTTATAATGTCAGTGTCCACTATGTAAATGATGAAGGTGTGGGACCACTTGACTCACTATTTCTGACTACACAAGAGGCCGGTAAGTAAGCAGGTTTCTATAAACATGCATGGGTATTCTTAAATAGAAAGATTAAAATTCATGCAAAATATTGTTTGCTCTCATCAACACCAGATCAGATTCTACAACTTACAAACTATGCAAGTTGGGAAAAATCTTCTTTATTAAGCGGTGACATCAATAGATTTTCTGTCCATATCTAGACAGGCTAGTAATGACACAAATACTCAGTTGAACATTCAAAATTCAGGTGTTAGTGGTTCTGTTATCATAAGTTTTACTTTTCAGTTCAACAGATTAACTCCATGTAAATAGACTTATTGCATGTTATTACAGGACAAATTCACTCACTGCAATTTAAATTAAGATAATACAAAGGATGGTTTAACTATGATTTCTTGTGTTGTAGATTCATTTTATGTTTTAATTTTACTTCACATCACCTTATTTCACAACTTTTTGTTAAAATCACAAATTGATTTATAGCCCCGTCAGCACCTGAAATCACCAATTTGACCTCTGGAACATCCTACATTATCTTGACCTATGACCCCCCGGTGACCAAAAATGGGGTTATTAGGGAGTATATGGTGTCCTACGATAAACGTGCTACATTTGAGGATAAGATAAGAGAGTCTGCTCAGCAGGCTACAAGTACCAACATCACTGGACTGGACCCTGCCACCTCCTACTACTTCAAGGTACTGCTCAGACTGATATCTGTTTCACCATCCAAGGAACAAAACTGATATAGAAAGATAGTAGTGGCAGACAGGTGGTGGTAATTATATACAGATGGTAGCTACAGGTGGTCAGTATAGACTGGCGGTAGCTATAGACATGGCAGGAATTATAGACAGATGGAAGTTACAGACAGGTGGTAGTTACCGACAGGTGGTAGTTACAGACAGTTGGTAGTTACCGACAGGTGGTAGTTACTGACAGGTGGTAGTTACAGACAGTTGGTAGTTACAGACAGGTGGTAGTTACAGACAGTTGGTAGTTACAGACAGGTGGTAGTTACAGACAGTTGGAAGTTACAGACAGGTGGTAGTTACAGACAGGTGGTAGTTACAGACAGTTCGTAGTTACAGACAGGTGGTAGTTACAGACAGGTGGTAGTTACAGACAGTTGGTAGTTACAGACAGGTGGTAGTTACAGACAGGTGGTAGTTACAGACAGGTGGTAGTTACAGACAGTTGGTAGTTACAGACAGGTGATAGTTACAGACAGTTGGTAGTTACAGACAGGTGGTAGTTACAGACCGGTGGTAGTTACAGTCAGATGGTAGTTAGAGACAGATGGTAGTTACAGACAGTTGGTAGTTACAGACAGGTGGTAGTTACAGACAGGTGGTAGTTACAGACATGTGGTAGTTACAGACAGTTGGTAGTTAAAGACAGGTGGTAGTTACAGACAGGTGGTAGTTACAGACAGGTGGTATTTATAGACAGATGGTGGTTATAGACATTTGGTAGTTATAGACAGGTGGTAGTTACAGACAGGTGGTAGTTACAGACAGGTGGTATTTATAGACAGATGGTGGTTATAAACATTTGGTAGTTATAGACAGAAAGCAGTTACAGACAGGTGGTGGTATAGACAGTTGGTAGTTATAGACAGGTGGTAGTTACAAACAGGTTGTAGTTATAGACAAATGGTAGTTACAGACAGTAAGTAGTTACATATAGGTGGTAGTTATAGACAGTAGGTAGTTACAGTCAGATGGTAGTTAGAGACAGATGGTAGTTACAGACAGGTGGTAGTTACAGACAGGTGGTAGTTACAAACAGGTTGTAGTTACAGACAGTTGGTAGTTACAATCAGATAGTAGTTAGAGACAGATGGTAGTTACAGACAGTTGGTAGTTACAGACAGGTGGTAGTTACAAACAAGTTGTAGTTACAGACAGTTGGTAGTTACAATCAGATGGTAGTTAGAGATAGATGGTAGTTACAGACAGGTGGTAGTTACAGACAGTTGGTAGTTACAGACAGGTGGTAGTTACAATCAGATGGTATTTAGAGACAGATGGTAGTTACAGACAGGTGGTAGCTACAGACAGTTGGTTGTTACAGACAGGTGGTAGTTACAGTCAGATGGTAGTAAGAGACAGATGGTAGTTACAGACAGTTGGTAGTTACAGACAGGTGGTAGTTACAGACAGTTGGTAGTTACAGACAGGTGGTAGTTACAGACAGGTGGTAGACAGGTGGTAGTTACAGACAGATTAGAGAGAATTAGAGAGACAATAAACTGATGGTTCCTATGACTGAAGTTTCAGTTTCACTCATTTTCATGATATTGGGGTTAAACATTTTAGGAAAACAATTTGCTATTTTTTTTCAAATAGAATATGATGTACACTATTCACCAATGTCAATACTGTAATAAATTGTCATAATTATGCAAGAAAAGTGACTAGTTGTATCAGAACAATGTAGTTAAAATGTGGGATACCATATTAACCAGTTATTTACAAACAGTAACATTGACACAAATTGACTTACAGATGTGGGATACCATGTTAATCAGTTATTTACAAACAGTAATATTGACACAAATTGACCTACAGATGTGGGATACCATGTTAATCAGTTATTTACAAACAGTAATATTGACACAAATTGACCTACAGATGTGGGACACCATGTTAATCAGTTATTTACAAACAGTAATATTGACACAAATTGACCTACAAATGTGGGATACCATGTTAACCAGTTATTTACAAACAGTAATATTGACACAAATTGACCTACAGATGTTGGATACCATGTTAACCAGTTATTTACAAACAGTAATATTGACACAAATTGACCTACAAATGTTGGATACCATGTTAACCAGTTATTTACAAACAGTAATATTGACACAAATTGACCTACAGATGTGGGATACCATGTTAATCAGTTATTTACAAACAGTAATATTGACACAAATTGACCTACAGATGTGGGATACCATGTTAATCAGTTATTTACAAACAGTAATATTGACACAAATTGACCTACAAATGTGGGATACCATGTTAATCAGTTATTTACAAACAGTAATATTGACACAAATTGACCTACAGATGTACAACTTGTGGTTGAGGATGCTTTATTGCTCTAATAGTTATGCATTGTACAATGGCCCAAATGTATTACTATTGGCTGATACAACTGTTTGCTACAGGAAATACACCAGATGTATGTCTCTTGATTACAGGTACAGGCTCGAACAAGTGACAATCTTTGGGGAGACTACAGCACCATACGCAATAAAACCACACTTCCTGATAAACCCTCAGCCTTGGGTCATCTTGCAATCAATGATAAGAATGTTTCCTGTCTAGAGGTGACTTGGAGTCCACCAAATACTCCCAATGGGAAGATAACTCAGTACAAGGTAAACAAATTGTTCATAATGAGGAGATAACTCAACATATGGTAAACAAATACATCACTTCCAATGGGGAGATAACTCAGTACAAGGTGAACACCTCAACCCTAGTGGGGAGATAACTCAGTACAAGGTGAACACCTCAACCTTAGTGGGGAGATATCTCAGTACAAGTTGAACACCTCAACCCTAGTGGGGAGATAACTCAGTACAAGGTAAACACCTCAACCCTAGTGGGGAGATATCTCAGTACAAGTTGAACATCTCAACCCTAGTGGGGTGATAACTCAGTACAAGTTGAACACCGCAACCCTAGTGGGGAGATAACTCAGTACAAGTTGAACACCTCAACCCTAGTGGGGAGATAACTCAGTACAAGGTGAACACCTCAACCTTAGTGGGGAGATAACTCAGCAAACTATGAACACCTCAGCCCTAGTGGGGAGATAACTCAGTACAAGGTGAAAACCTCAACCCAAGTATGGAGATAACTCAGTACAAAATAAACACATCAGTCCTAAAGGTGAGACACAAATCAGTACAAAGTAAACACATCAGTCCTAAAGGTGAGACAAATCAGTACAAAGTAAACACATCACTCCTAAAGGTGAGACAAATCAGTGAAAAGTAAACACATCAGTCCTAAAGGTGAGTCAAATCAGTACAAAGTAAACACATCAGTCCTAAAGGAGAGACAAATCAGTACAAAGTAAACACATCAGTCCTAAAGGTGAGACAAATCAGTACAAAGTAAACACATCACTCCTAAAGGTGACACAAATCAGTACAAAGTAAACACATCAGTCCTAAAGGTGAGACAAATCAGTACAAAGTAAACACATCAGTCCTAAAGGAGACACAAATCTGTACAAAGTAAACACATCACTCCTAAAGGAGACACAAATCAGTACAAAGTAAACACATCAGTCCTAAAGGTGAGACAAATCAGTACAAAGTAAACACATCAGTCCTAAAGGAGACACAAATCAGTACAAAGTAAACACATCAGTCCTAAAGGAGACACAAATCAGTACAAAGTAAACACATCACTCCTAAAGGTGACACAGATCTGTACAAAGTAAACACATCACTCCTAAAGGAGACACAAATCAGTACAAAGTAAACACATCAGTCCTAAAGGTGACACAAATCAGTACAAAGTAAACACATCAGTCCTAAAGGAGACACAAATCAGTACAAAGTAAACACATCAGTCCTAAAGGTGACACAAATCAGTACAAAGTAAACACATCAGTCCTAAAGGAGACACAAATCAGTACAAAGTAAACACATCAGTCCTAAAGGTAAACACATCAGAAAGGTGACAAATCACATCAGTACAAAGTAAACACATCAGTCCTAAAGGATACACAAATCAGTACAAAGTAAACACATCAGTCCTAAAGGAGACACAAATCAGTACAAAGTAAACACATCAGTCCTAAAGGTGAGACAAATCAGTACAAAGTAAACACATCAGTCCTAAAGGTGACACAAATCAGTACAAAGTAAACACAAATCAGTCAAAGTAAACACATAAAGGTGAGACACACATCAGTCCTAAAGGTGAGACCACATCAGTCCTAAAGGAGACAAATCAGTACAAAGTAAACACATCACTCCTAAAGGTGACACAAATCAGTACAAAGTAAACACAACAGTCCTAAAGGAGAGACAAATCAGTACAAAGCAAATACATCAATCCTAAAGGTGACACAAATCAGTACAAAGTAAACACATCAGTCCTAAAGGTGACACAAATCAGTACAAAGTAAACACATCACTCCTAAAGGTGACACAAATCAGTACAAAGTAAACACATCAGTCCTAAAGGATACACAAATCAGTACAAAGTAAACACATCAGTCCTAAAGGTGAGACAAATCCATACAAAGTAAACACATCAGTCCTAAAGGTGAGACAAATCAGTACAAAGCAAACACATCAGTCCTAAAGGTGAGACAAATCAGTACAAAGTAAACACATCAGTCCTAAAGGTGACACAAATCAGTACAAAGTAAACACATCAGTCCTAAAGGAGACACAAATCAGTACAAAGTAAACACATCAGTCCTAAAGGAGACACAAATCAGTACAAAGTAAACACATCACTCCTAAAGGAGACACAAATCAGTACAAAGTAAACACATCAGTCCTAAAGGTGACACAAATCAGTACAAAGTAAACACATCAGTCCTAAAGGTGAGACAAATCAGTACAAAGTAAACACATCAGTCCTAAAGGTGAGACAAATCAGTACAAAGTAAACACATCACATCAAATCAGTACAAAGTAAACACATCAAAGGTGAGACACAATCCATCAAAGTAAACACATCAGTCCTAAAGGTGAGACAAATCAGTACAAAGTAAACACATCAGTCCTAAAGGTGAGACAAATCAGTACAAAGCAAACACAACAGTCCTAAAGGAGACACAAATCAGTACAAAGTAAACACATCAGTCCTAAAGGTGAGTTAACCAATAAATAGAAGGTAGGTATGTCACTACATAGAAACATTAATCATAAAAAGATAAGTTATAAATACTCTGATGGGTGCGATAATAGTATATGTGTGTATAAAGGTTTCAAGTGGTAATTGAAAGGATGAAGTGAAGAGTGCATATAAGTATATTCATTTCCAATAGATATGATGAATTGGTCTGTTAAGAAACAGTAAAATGAGAAAAGGAATTATACTAAATTATGTTTACTAGCTTTTAACTGTCCTTTAAGAACCAAATTGTTTTTGACAATTATTTTCATCACAAATGGGAAAGATTTTCAGATTATCATTGATTTTATAACTTAAAAATTGAATAAGTTTGATAATTGCTTAATAATGTATTTTTACTGTTAGAATATTTTTCATATTAAGAATTGATATAGAAGAATCCACAGCATGAATAAGATGTATATCTGACATGTACCTGGAGGAAGATGTTCACCTGTACCCCTTACATAGGGGATGACAGGGGGTATACAGTCTTTATCTATATACATGTTATACTGATAATGAATGCCATTCATCAACTTTCAGGTAAAGTACCGAGAGGAGAAGAATGATACTTTTTCTCCTGAAAGGATTTTAAATGCTCCAGTATCCTCCTACCTTTTGTGTGACCTTCATCCAGGTACACCCTACATGGTGGAAGTTTCTGCTGCAACTGCTGCAGGATTTGGCATTTCTACTTCTGTCTTCGAGACAACTGTGATTGGCCAGCCTCCCCTGCCTACAGCTCCGTTTGTTGTCAATACTACCAATACCCAGATCACCGTCATTCTCAACCAAGTGGTCATCAACACTGGGCCCCTCACAGAGTACCGTTTGTATGTGCAGGATCTCACAAGTAAAGTTAAAGCCCCTGGTTATTTGGTGGTCCGCTTTCCAGCAGCTGAAATCACGTCCCCAAGAGTGTTCGTTGTTGGTGATGGAGTACCAGCGACTAACAAGCCATTGATTAAAGATCACATGTATGTAATATCTCTGGAGATTGTCAGCACCTTAGATGAAGTTACAAAGACCAGTATTAACAGTGCAAAGCCCATTCAAACAAAAGTGAGCCAACCTGTCACAGTGGTCAGTACACCCAATACAAGCAATACACCTGTTATAGTGGCAGTTGTTGTCATCATCTTGTTACTACTCATAGCTGCAATTGTGGTTGGTTTGATATTCTGGTACAAGCGCCGTCAGAGTAGGTATGTTTACCGCCAACAAAATGACGAAAAAGAACCATACGATTTTATTCCAATGCCTGACCAAGAATACTATGATCCCATGACATACTGGAACACTATCTACTCCAACCGAGAAAGTCGCTACATCACAGCTGGACTGGAACTTCTTCCAGGTGAAAATGAGATCTTGTCTAATGAAACAACAGCTTGTCCCAATGGCGGACCTCCAGTCTCCTTCAGTCAGGAGTTTCATGACCTTCCACATGGGCAGTTGTCTTCATGGAATGCAGCCATCATGAGGAAAAATGAAAACAAAAATAGATTTCCACATCTCCTTCCATACGATCACTCAAGGGTTGTATTGAATGCAGATGAAAACTCAAATGGAGATTTTATCAATGCAAATTACATGCATGGTTACAAGAAATCTGAGGAGTATATCGCTGCACAGAGTCCATTCAGTGATGAGACGGTGCTTGATTTCTGGAGGATGATCTATCAGAAGAACATCAAAATTGTAGTTATGATAACAAACACCGTGGAAGACAGCATTGTTAAGTGTACACAATACTGGCCAGATACAACACAAGGACATTATGGATCATTTGTTCTCGAGATAATTGAAACGCGAGAATTTGCAGACTATGTCATCAGGACAATAAAAATTACAACACGCCACAGCTCATCTCATAGATTCATCTATCTGTTTGAGTTCTGCTCCTGGCCAGATCACGGTGTACCAAGTGATCCTATTCCATTGCTGGATATGAGGAACAAGGTAAGGGATTACCGTGGGAATGATAGAAGTCCACTTCTTGTTCACTGTGGGACTGGAGTCAGTAGAACCGGTAGCTATATAGCCATAGACGCCTTGCTGGAGCAATACGAGGCAGAGGGCAGGATTAGTGTTTTCTCCTTTATAAGAAAACTGCGCAAGGACAGGGTGGCTATGGTGAGGACACTTAAACAGTATGTGTTCATATATGATGCTATATTTGAGGAAAGGTTGGCAGGAAATACACGGGTTGGACCAGACTTGAAGTCAAGGTACCATGAACTAACACGCAAAAATCCAAAAACGAAACATTCTTTTTTGAAAGACCAGTTCATTTGTTTGCAAAGATATACAAGGAAGGTTGCACCAAAGAAGTGCCATACTGCACTCTTGCCACTAAATGTGGTGAAAAATCGCTTCCCAGATGTTGTTCCTCCTGATGACTTCCGTCCTGTTTTAGAGGCAGCTGCATTTGGTAGAACGGATTACATTAATGCATTGTTCCTCGACAGTCACAGAAAGAGAAACCACTTCATAGTTACCCAGACTCCACTTCACACCACAATTACAGACTTCTGGAAACTTGTGTATGATTTTGATATCAATACAATTGTGATGATGGAATCTTATAAACATGAAGACGACACCTGTGCAGAGTATTGGCCGGACCATCGAGCCAAAAAATTTGAACCTTTCTTCATCGATAATACTGAAGACTTCCAGCAAGATAATGTCACGATACGTCAGTTCAATGTGAAAAGCATGCAACAACCTCGCAGTCCACCTCACAAAGTGCGACAATTTCAGTTCAATGCTTGGGAAGATCCAGACTTTATTCCAAAGTCTAAATCAATGTTACTAGACCTCATTGACATGGTAACAGATTGGCAGAAAGAGGAGAATGGAGACCAAACACCTATCCTGGTGCACTGTAAGGATGGTGCCACCCATAGTGGATTGTTTTGTGCTGTTGTAGCCATCTGCCAAGCCATGCAGGATGATGGAGATGTAGATGTCTTCCACACCATCAAACACATGAAGAGACGGAGGGAACAAATTATTGATATGTTGGTAAGTAATTGGTTCCTAAATCATGATTTGAGGTTATTTTCAAGTTAGTATATAAAGGTTATTAGAGAGTCAAATGGTGTATAATCTTGTGCCCTGGACATTCTGGTGAAAATAAGTAATCAGTAATCTCCTTGTTATATTATCAAAACCTTAAGTGAATAACATTCCCATGCATATGAGAGACCATGGCCTTGCTGTTGAGGGATACATGAGAATGAATTCATTGGCATGCTTTAGATGAAGGTCATTGGTATGCTGTTGAGTTAGGTGAAAGTCATTGGCATGTTGTAGTGAAGGTCATTGGTATGCTGTTGAGTTAGGTGAAAGTCATTGGCATGTTGTAGTGAAGGTCATTGGTATGCTGTTGAGTTAGGTGAAAGTCATTGGCATGTTGTAGTGAAGGTCATTGGTATGCTGTTGAGTTAGGTGAAAGTCATTGGCATGTTGTAGTGAAGGTCATTGGTATGCTGTCTAGTTAGGTGAAAGTCATGGGCATGTTGTAGTGAAGGTCATTGGCATGCTCTTGAGTGAAGGTTATTTGCTTATTGTTGATTGAAAGTCATAACCGTGCTGTGAGGGAAGATTTGAAATAAGCCTCCAATGTAACATTGCTGTAATGTTCATTGTACTGTATCTAATAATGTCATTCTATTTTCAGGACCAGTATCGGTTCTGTTACCGAGTTCTATGGGACTTTATGAACCTGAGGATGCCAGGCGGTACCCTAACAAACATGATGAACCACAGTAACAATGATCCTCTGTACATCCCAGGCAGCCTCAGTCTGGCATCTTACACGTCACACCTAGAGTACATATGAAGGACTTCATCAAACAACTGGTGTGAAAATTCTATTCAGATTCGTCCTAAGATAACACTCATTTCAGCCAGATTTATAAGTGATCGGTACAAAGGAACATTCCACAGTAAAACTTGATACTTTTCATCATGTTTTAGAATCATCATGGTGTTCAAAAGGAGTAAGCATTATATCTATTGAAAGGTATGAAAAAAATTAGAGTACCTTGAAATAACAATGGCCATTATACCAAAGTTCTGATACAAATATCAATTACTAGAACGGATAAAATAATCGCAGTATTTCTGAGTACTGATGGCTAAGTGAATTTGAATTTGTGAAAAGTGGTTTATTGAAACCCAGGAGAAAATAGTGCTGTTTTACTTGTAAAAAATGCTTTCTAAATATTTTTTTTTAATGTTGCATCTCAAAAACAAAACACTTGTATATTCTAATCAGTGCCTTACAGAATTGAGTGAGTGAGCATTTCAAAGAAAAATTTATTTACGAAACCAATTTTTTTATGATGAATTTGTTGCTTTTTTCTGTGTAGTTGATTACACAGCACTTCAGTAGAATTTCAGGGTTTTTTTTATAAACATTTCACAATGAACTTTGTCCTGAAAATCCAGCTATATTACATGAAAATGCATGTGCTAAACAGACTTTTAAAACATGCAATACTTACCATAATGAGGTAATTTCAGTAACACATGCTGTATGCTAATGAAACTGAAAACTATAGATAAATATATTTATACCTGTCATCAAGTCTGGTCAAAATATTTCATTGTAATGATCCATTGAAACTTTGTACATCTGTCTCTTCCTCAAGTTTAGGCATACCAAAGGTAATTAAATCATTTATACAGTCTCAAACAGAATTCAGCTTTGGTTTCCGTCCATGTCATCATGTCATAATGCATGATAACAAACTAAAGAAACATATAAGGTATTCAATTGGGCTTGATAATTCAAAAAAAAAGATTGTCTTCCAAAATACATTTTGGTACACATGTACTGTAATATATACCATGTGGTTCACATAGATTTTAAAATTCAACATTTTAGTTTGAAGAATAGATAACTTCTATAATTTAAGTTTGTGAAATAAATGAATTAGGTATTGTATATTTTTTTGTTGACAAGTGATATTAAATTAAATGTTTTTCTTGTATAAAAAATTTTCAAAATTTGTGATATAAGATGTTTGAATGCAATGTGTTTTATTGTTGATCATATATTCCTGAATAAGCAATGGATATATTTGTGTTTGATTCATAAGTCATTTCCACACAAAAGTCTCATGAAAAAGGACTTCAGAGTTCTGTAATACATGTGATTTTTTTTTCCAAATGGTTAAGGTTTTAGTCATGCTGCTATCAGTTCTGTCAAAATAACAACAGATCATGACATTGCGAAGTTTGCTATTTCTACATCATTACAAGTATAGTATTTAAGTAATAGTCAAAATACCCCATGTTTTATATAGACTATAGATTCTGTGATTGTTATACCCATAGATGTACCGTCCATCTCTCATTTTGTTTATATGTTAAGTATTAAGATATCTACTTATAGTATTATCAGTAGTGTTGGTCAGGTTTTTTCCTGTGTGACATGAAAATACTTTTTTAGTTTTCTATATCAACTTGTTAGTAATTGCTGCATTTTTTGCAGTCAAGAGATTCTGGAAACCAATATTTCTAGATTAAAAAAAAAAAATAGGGTATGAATTTAATAACATGTTCTTTATACATTATCTGTATCTTCGAATAGGCGTAAATGCTCAAATTGAAAAAGCAAACTTGATGTTAGCAATTATCTGTAGAACTTTTCCATATTTAATTGATAAAACATCTAAGTTGCTTTATAAGTCTCTTGTAAGGATTTATTTGGAATATGTGATTATTGTATTGCAACCACGTGTTCAATTGTTGGGACCAGAACAGAGGAAGGAAACCAAACAATTACCAGGTTTTGGAGAAGAGGTTCAGAAGACTGATACTGCCAACACTGAGCTTCAGACAGTTATGAGGAGATCTGTTGGATGTTTCCATGATAACCAAAAATAGATAGGAAAGAAAAATTAAAAATGAATCCCAATGACAAGGAACTCAGGCCATACAGAGGAACTGTATCTACAACAGTCTAACATGACTGTAAGAAAATACTTATTTTCGCCATGAGTTGTAAAGACATGGAATAGCCTAGATGTTTTATCAGTGCTTTCAACAAATACTTTCAAAAACTGACCGGAGAAGCACTGGGATAACCAGGACATTTTGTTTCATTATAGAGCAAGCATTCAGGTTAGATAGGTAACGTGATGTTACATTTCACTTCGTGTATTGCTTGTATTCTTACATATATTTTTTGAGTCTGGTGAACATATCTGGTTTCAGAAACTAAAATAAACTAAACTAAACTTAACTGAAGTAAATTAAAACCCGAGCCTTGTGGTATCTTTCATACCAATAAGTGTTGAATGTTCGAGACTTTAGAAAGTGTAAAATGTTATCTGGATTTGTGATGTTTCCTTATATAACAACAAAGAAAGAATTAGCTCACAATTGTATCTTTTGATATTTGATACTGTGTGAAGTAGTTAATTTGCAAGTAGTCTGATTTTTGTTATCAGAATAGAAATGTATTGCTATCTCACAACATCTCAACATTTCACTTTTGAATACTTTTTTTGAGAGAGTAAAATCTTGCCATTAATGTATGGTTTATATTGGCTTGTAGTTTTAACTGTGAAGTCCACACACAATGATAACCACTTCCTACAACTTTTGAAACACAGAATCCAAATGTACTTTTTACTATATTCTATTTCCTTGGTTATAAGCCATACAACATTTCCTATTTTCAAGTACAGTAGTAATTATTTCCCATTTCACTTCCTGTGTTGATTTACCAAGATGTGGTATTTAATGTTTTCTATTTACCTTTTCAGTGAAAGTGAACATGTAAAGCAGTCAACATTCTCTTACCCTGTTCATATCATTTTCCAAAATGTACAGATTCCCTGTTCAGTTTCATAAATTCTAAATGGTATTTGTGAATTAGTAAAAAAGACTGATTGGCTCACTAGAGATCAACTAAAGACAGTGTTTATTTCCCAGATTTATCTGAAAAATTTAGAATAGTTTCAGTGTGGAATATTATTCTATTTTGCATAGAATTTGTTTTCAATGTTTGAAATTGTATTTCACAGCAACATCTGTGCATATCACTGTGGAAGGCTTTACTTTACCTGTTGTAGCTTCTCTTCAAACGAATATCCGAAATTTCCGGTTTTATCCTTGGATAGCTTTGTATGTCTAACATAGGATTTTCTTTGGTTTGTATGTTATTAAATGGTGCTCCTGTCGCATGTCTCCAAGCTCCTTACGGAGCGTCTGTAATGTCTATAAATTGCACTAGTCCAGTAAATGTGATAGCATTATATAGTGATATTTTGTATTGTTTTATTTGTGATGTACATTATACTATATATGTATATAATTATATGTTATTTACAGACCTATGTGAAATAGTTTAGTTTTATAAATATCAATTGTTTTATCCAAAAAGTAAAATTTGACTGAGAAATATCTTCATCATTTTGTATTGATATTTGAAAATGACCGAACTGACCACCACATATAATAATTTCAGCAGTGACTGGTTTCCTTGGGGTTATGTTTAAATAAGGAGAACTCAGATATATATTTTTGGAGGTCTCATTTCTAAGTTATAGTTTCTTAATGATCTTGCACTTAATCAGCATTTAAACATTGAATATTATACTGACCAAAACAGCATTGATGTTACATATCAGTAAAAGAAAATACAAGCGCAATGTTGTTTTAATTAATATTATGACCATAATAGGTGTGTATGACAGAACAAGCGTTCCAGCGATTCACCCACCTAAGACCCTACCTATATATTGGTGGCCCAGCCTTGGCTCTTTCCCCCTCACTTTTAAAAATAGCCCTTATTTATTTTACACCAATTGCGAAAAAAGTTTTTCCAACTTATATTAATCACTCTTGTTGACCCAGATGGAAGCGCGTGAGGGGTTTTACTGTGGGAGGAAACCGGAGTACCTGGGGAAAACCCATGTGGTCGGGCAGGTGACCCCTTAACTTTTTACATTCACTGTGGTAATCAAAGCCCGGGTGGCTAGGTGAAAGGCGAGTGCGTTACTACTGCACCACCCCACCACTCTCCCTTCTAGATCAATAGTACAACACTGGGCAATATGTCTAAATGGCTCTATCAGTCAAACATTACATACATATTCAACTTGAGTGATACTTTTAGTTTGAAGAAGTTATTTAATTCATACATTAAGTTGAAGAAATCCATTTGAAATCAGATGTTCAGAAGTTTCTTATTATTTTAGTGTGAAAATGAGTATGATGCTTTAACCTTCAGATAATTCAATAGAGAATGGAGATTTGCTTCGAGTAAAGTCACTGAAAGTTATAAAGAGACATTCCATTTATAAACCATATATGACGATTGTTGAATTTAATCGAAAAATAATGTGTCGGTGGTGTGTATATTCCAGAACATACATTTATCAAAACAAACTGTGATAATTATTTCATTATTACTAATCTATGTAGTGCGTATTTATTAAGTAGAGCTAATATTTCTGTTTTAATGTTTTCCGTTTACTTAATTTCAGAATGATTAAAATACCTACACAGGTTTTTTTTCCAAAAGCAGTGTAGAATAATACAAAAGATTAGAGTGCATTTGTACCAGTTTGATTAACTTCAGTCATGTTATCACTGTTATTATAAACAGGTTTCTTTGGGTTATTTTGTGCAGTTGTTTTCAAATCGAAGAATTTTGCCATGATATTGTATATGGTAGTTGGGTTAGGTGTATATAGGGTAGTAGGACCTAATGTCATACTATACTACCTACCCGGAATGGTAACTGCAGTGATACAACTTAGTCTCATTGTTTATGATTTTTACTTACAATGTATTGCTACTGTAATTTAATTAAGATTAAAGAAAATGGCAGAATAATGTAGTTTGTTTTTTTTTTCTGGATCATTTATGGTAGTTTTTTGCTGAAAGCAAAGCCATCCCTTGAAATAAATCACTCTGTATTATGGTATAGATTATTAAAGAATATAATGATGAAACTATTCTATCTTTGAAAATTATCTTTTTTTTCACTTTTTGTCACTTTTTTAAAAAAATTCAGTTTAATTTTGCAACTTGCAATGTTTTAAATTTCCAGTAGATATGTATCTGATGAAATGAGAAAAGCGGTCTTCAATATTGTTTGATAATTCCAACATTTCACAAAGGCTGCTTCAGGAGGAAAAATGGGTTGCCTTTTTCATAAAGATATCAAAAACAAGAAATGAGCAGTTTACCATAAACTAAAGATGGATTTAAGAAAAAAAAGAACAAGAGGCCGAAGATCCTGTAAGCCGTTTATGACTAGTAAACATTTTGTATGAAAAAGTTGACGGACGGACAGACTACGGACGCCAGAATATTCCATAAGCTCACGTGGCCCTCCGGGAAAACTCCGAGAAACTGTGTATCGCTATCTAGATAGCAATATTTTTTACCCAGAATTCATTACGATCACCTACATCAGACATATTGCTCTGTCACATTGTCACATTGTCACATCAGTGCAGGAGACGGAAAATCTGACGAATTCGATATCCGTGTAAGTTAATTGAAATATGTGCTAAAATGTAATATAGTCATATTACAATGCATATTTATTGTTATCAAGTTATCTGCTGTACGGCTTGAAATTATCAGAGCGAAACGTTTTTGAAATATCATTTCAATATCTGTAACAACTTTTCAGGTCCAATAGTAATGTCTCTGTCATTAAGCCATAGGGGAAATGATCTTTCCTACTACGAGAAAAAACACAATGAGACTGTTCTGGAGGAGCTGGAGGTTGGGGATATGGTGGAATTTCCGAGAGATTTTTTCTCCCACTGGGGAGTCTACATAGGTAATATTAAAACATTTATATTCCAGTCCAATACTCGTTTTAAACATTTCAATGAAAATTTAAGATGATTTTAAAAGTAAAGTAGTAGTTAATGTAAAATTTAAATGAATATCACACAGATATCACTGCGCAGACCGAAAAGTGAAACTGAAACTGAAATTGTTTTCTAATTAAAAGAATTTCAAAGACATTTCAGAAATCAATGTTACGAGGGGTGGGGGGGGGGGGGGCATAAGCAAACAAAACACTAAAACATTGATAGACATGATGAAGAATGAAGACGGATATTCTCACTGGGGAGTCTAATAGGTACAATGAGAAAACGATACAACAGTGTCATATGTGGTGTGTTCGAAAGGTCAAATATTGGCAGTCAAAACTTTCAAACTTTTCAGTTGGCACAAAAAGTATGTTCTTGATCAAGCTGTTTTCAGGGGCTAAATAAGAGAAGCTTATCGTATGTGTCTAACTCACAGGACAGGTGACTGAAGACATGAGTTGCTGAAAAGTCGATTTTATTTATGAAAATAGAGATATTTCGAAACATTTTTGTTAACTTGTAGTAATGTCTCTTCGTTCAGATGGAAGTGCATGTTACTGAAGCACAAGACCACTGTTTTGCCACTATGCCATCCGATCCCAACGTTTTGTCGATAATTGTTTTCATCAAGTGTGTCAACATGTCTAAACAAAAGTAAACTGCCACGCGATGTTTAAGATTTATTACGTTGAAATCTTATAAACAAACTCGTAATTTGTAAAACATTACACGCAAATTTTATTAGAGATTTTATTTTTTTCTATTTATTCAAAAGACAATTTGATGGAAAATATTGAGATGATAAAATTTATAATGTGGCTAAACATGCAAACTTTCTATATTTCTTTTAAGTTAACCAGTTTTGTAAGCAGCTACATGTATATTGTGTTTATCTGCCATAGGTCACGTATATAATGTACATACCTGAACGATACTGCACCTCTGTACCTTTCGACCTGTTTTATCATATCTCTGGGAAAACACCTGTTATACCTGATTCTGTTTCATGGAATTCTTAAAACGAAACTTACAAAATTTATTTCGTTATAAAACTATAGATAGGATTACCTGCAGTAGTTCTACTGTCCGCTAGACCAGACAACAACGACCGCAGTCAGGGTAACTTTTCATTGACGTCAGAGGGCCGCCAGGCATCATAACTTTGCCCTGACCACATTCACGTCTACTAACAAATGAAAGTATGAAAACGTATGACACCCGGTTCATATAGCGAATTTAGGTGTTTTGATATTTCAAAGTCAATGTCATGATACGATCTTTAGAGCAAAAATCCTATCGAACACCTATACACGGAACACTTAAACTTAAAGGTTCCTTGCCATTGATGTACTTGTAATGCAAATTTAATCTTTTAAAAAGAAGGGTTAAATTCTAAAATTTGTTTGCCAGTAAAATCGCATTCAGATGATGGGCTTGGGTGGATTTATCTATTATAAAATGTAGTATCTTAATAGCTACCGTTTGCGAGGTAAACAAGTTGCAGCATCGTCGCTTTGATCTTGTGAGCCGACTTTCAGGTCAGGAAACATGTTCCATTCAATGATCAAAGTTTGTGCCAACATCTGTAGGTGTCTCGTCAGAATCGGACGTTCTTTTAATTATCGACTATGATTTCTTAAGTTACCAGGCAAGTCACAAATCGGTCGACTTTGTTGGACAATCTAACACGGGTAAGTTATTTAACTACGAGGGTTCTGCTGCTGCGACTGAAAAAAAAAGATTCCAACGACATGTCTTTTGAGAAGCAATAAAAACAATTTCTTGTCTTAAAATTTCGTCACAGTAACAACTACCGTTTATATCCTCAATGGTCGCTAGGTCTTGAACATCGTTCAAACGGTTTCGCGACGTCCGCTTCAATGGAATCATTTTGCGACGCAGCAATTTGTTTTGTTTCAACAGACGCGAAATAAATCGAATAACATTCTTTTTTGGCCTTTGATCCCGAGGGAACATTACGCGGGATTTCCCGCGCGGAGAAGACCTAATGCTGATTAATTTTGGTTTGAACGATTTTCTTGTACCTGGACGTATCCATTTTTGGTGGAACATCTCTACATATCTCTCCGTCTGACAGCCGGACCGTACTGATAATGGTGGCTGGCACCAAAGTTTGGTGACTTCTTCGTGACAGAAATTCTTTGTTTGGCTGCACGTATTCTAAATATGTGCCTTTTGTGCAATCCATTCAGACTGCAGGTAGTAGACACTGATACTGGGCTTGTAGTGCCCGAAGTTTACTTTAATAAGTAAGGCATGATTTAATTCATTTTAATAATTGCACGATTCAGATCATACACTTGATATCATTTTAAAATTAACATTTACTGAAAATCATGAAATTAAAGCATATTCCTGTCTATATTTCGACTTATCATAACTCAATAAACCTTCTACCCGTCGTGACAGAGTTAGGCGGAAGGATGAATACCGAAATCAGGTTGTCTGTCTCACCAGACAACTCCTTACCAATTTCAATGAAACTTACTACCGATGAAGGGAAGGTGTGAACGTTTCAAGTACTGTAGTACTGAACAAAGTATTGATAGTATTGTACTGAAGTACTTCACCAATCGAATTCCTTAAATTTATGCAACAAGCTCTCTGATTGGCAGAGCCAAGTCTAGATCGATTGTGGGTGGAGCCAGGTGAAAAAATACTGTGCAGACATCGGCATTTTACAAACACTCGACTGTCGCGAGAGGTTAATTGGAAGAGTCCAAGTCACAGGTGGCTTCAGATCAGACCTAATTGGGTTGTCCCATTTTTTTCGTTCTACACCCAATGATACCTTGCTTTTCCATCGATGGTACAACGAGAAAACGAAAGTTACTCAGTACTAAACTAATTTACGTACAAAATATATATCAACAGGTTAGATCACTGGGACCGGAGAATTCATAACATCTTAACAGTGAATATAGTCATATAGTCATTCTGTACTAGTTTTATTTATTTATTTTTTTTTTTTGAAAGGGGGGGGGGAGGGTTGGCTCAAAATATTTCGGTTTAAGCCCAAGCTCTATTATATGTAACATAGAATTACGAATTACCTGGGACCTCCTGATATATGCCGATAATTCATACTGCATTAAAAAATAAATTCTGTGGTCCCATATATTTTTTATTTTATTTTTTATCTTTCCATCGAAAATTATACATATCCGCAACATGTGAAAAACTTTGAAGTTGGTTGGGCGGAATATCTAGAGCATTTACTACTGCAAGTTCCAGAAATTCTGACACAAGTCGGGTATTTGCCCGAAGCCTCTGTCTCATGACATTGAATACATATTCAGTTACGTTGTATTCCGGGGAATAAGGCGGCTGAAAAACCAGGGACACGCCATATTCTTTCAGCATATTTCTTAAAATGCGCTCTCCCTGTCTACGGTGATGGAATCCACAATTATCCATCACAACCACATCGCCTTGTACAAAAACAGGATTCCCCATATCGTTCGTATCGGACATAATTTCGTCGAAGAAAATTTTGCGTACTGTTGCCGTCGTCGGACATTTTTCCAGCGATTACTTAGTAATTGTTATGTAACTGATAGTGTACAATAACTCCGCCTACCGGAACAAATTGGGTGTCAGATCAACTATTCAGGTTGTCTAAACTCCGCCCCCGACCAATCACAGAGGTCGTTGTATACTTGACTCGATTATTTGAATACTTCAATACAATAGTATCAATACTTTGTTCAATACTATAGTAAGTGTGTCGTTCACACCTTCCCTTCAGTAACGGGAATGTTACGGACCATGCATGCATTTTTTCAGCAGAAATTTTGATTACCATGGTAACCAGGTTACTATATGCAAGGTTTTATGCATTGTTTTAACCTCGGCAATTATTAACTCAATTTTGCTGAAATTTAGTATAATGGTGTAATATTTCACATCAGGCGTTTCCAGAACCGTTACTATGCAAACATAATAGAGGCTTCTGATTGGTCAAAAGTAAGATATTGTTTGGTTATGCGTGGGAAGGTCATACAAATATAACACAATAACGTCACTTGAACTGGAAACTGAAACAAACAATGTGGTGATATAGTTATCCTCAGGTGACAATTCTAGTTTTCTCTCTATTGCCTAATACGCCTTAGCATCGCTGGCGAGTCCTGGTAGGACAAACCAGCTTCATTGTGTAGTTTTATTCAATGTTTGGCTGTTCAATATTGTTCCTATGTATTTACTTGTATTGAAAGGTGCAGTTCGTTTCAGTGTGTCCTTTCACTAATGAAGCTTTGTTCTTATAATTTAAAGTTGTTTTAGTTGGACAATTAAGATGATCGAATTAAGATGAGATTAAAAATTTACATGTTCCGGCAAAATAAATTATGTTAGGGCTTTCCGTTGATACAAACTTTCACAAATGAATTATTTTAGAAACCTGGTTTGAATTTGGACTGCATTTTAATGTCATTTTCTTAATGAAAAAATAACGCATTAGAGGTGTATGCACAATAACAAAGTATCATTTTTTTTTCATATCTATTAATAACAGTTGTTTTATTAGATTAAATGTTACTTATCATGAGAAATATGAGTTTAATATAACGTGCAACCAAACAGTCTGTGTTCCTTGTCAGGTGATGAGAAAATTGTACATCTGACGGGTGATGAATCCGACAATGATCCGCACGCTGGTGAATCGTTCTTCTCCATTTCTGGTGTTCGATGTGACAAAGCATGGGTCAAGGTTGAAAACTTTTTGGATGTTGCCCAGGGATGCCTCGCTAAAAAGAACAACGACAAAGATCGTAGTCAAGTGTTAGTATGTTTATTACATACCTACATCAGATGGGCAGTGTCATGGTCTGTATATGACAAGTGCTAACAACTGTTTATAGGTTTCTAAAGCGTTACAACAGGAATTTAAAGTGCTGTATAGAATTGAAAATAAGGCAGTCTTCATAGTCATAGCATAGAACGACATGAATTGCAAACATTTAATCGGAAGTCGGATTTTTAAACATGAACTTATAGAAATAAAATTGTGCAAAAATATCGAGATGACTTTTCTTAAAACAAATATAAGCCAATTATCTGTGTGTTTGATAAAACAAAATGTAACTTTTGACAGAACTGTATTGATGCCTCTTCCACAGGGCTGCCGGGAATTATCCACGGCCTTCCGATGAAATCATGAGAACGGCATATGCCATGAGAGGTCAAGCAGAGTACAATGTTTTCTTTGACAACTGCGAACATTTCGCCTCTTACCTTCGATATGGCCAAAAATGCTCTGATCAGGTATAGTTTATTTCAGCATTTAACTGTCAAAAGGCACAGGTTTGCAAGCAATCGCCCTATTTCAGGCGAGGAGTATGATGTCTGTTTAAAAGCCACGTTAGCGCAAAAAGAGAAACTTATGTTTTCATATTTTCATTGTCTTTTGATGTTGGACTTTAAGAGTCTAAAATTTAATCTCATTTGAACATTTGCATCAAGGTATTCGTTGTATAATGTTGAAGTGTTGTCTATTATATTTCCCCATTTACCTGTACTATGTTGCTGTGTTTACTCTGTAGCATTTTAGCAGTAATATGACTTTTTCCATTTCTGTGTTGACAGGCTAACATGGCTCTCGGTGCCATAGTGCTAGGGGGAGCTGCAGTGGTCATTGGAGGCCTAATAGGTTCTTTGTTTCCTCGCAAGAAATAACATCTATAACATATTCCTTCTATGTAAGTGCTATACTTAATGTTCATCCATGAAAAAAAAACTTTATCAACAGCAGTTGTATACATTGGATGGATCATTTAATATAATTATACAACAATTTGAGGATACCTTTTGTAGAATCAGCTCAATATCAATTTAAACAGTGAATAAAGACATCAATTTTCTTTTAAGGCGTTTAAGTTGTTAACTTTCCCAAACTATTTCTACATTCTACTATTCATGTGTTTTGTTTATCTGGTATGAGGAAAGTTACTTATAACCGATATTGGTGTCGTCATATTGCCATAAGTGCGATCCCTTAATCACCAAAGAGTGTTTTATAACAAAGCAAGAACATCACAGGCGATAGCTTCATGCGCCCCTTAGAAGGTAAAGATGAGGAAGTGAACCACACTTTACAATACAGGGAGACAGACTAAACATATGGATTTTTCGACAATATCCGTGTTTAACTCCGTTAAAAATCAAAGGGGAAATTGAGAAATGCGTGCTTGATTTTCTTCATTCTCCCGAAACATTAAATTGATAACAATATTTTTGCGACCCGAATGAGAAATGTGTGCGTGTTCTAAAACTGTAGTAACGAAGTCTATTCAGTTATAGTGTTGATGCACCTACCCATGTATTTTTGTCACTTCTTCGGATGTTTTTTCTCCCAATTAAGGAGGTAAGTTTTCGTATATGGTCTGATAATTTGACTCATTAATGCAACTCATTATATCACTACTTTTTTGCATTTTGTAAAGATCATAATTACATTTTCATGTAGCTGAAATTGGCTGAAGATCACCTTATTTTTAGACTCGTTTCATGAAACTCGTATGAAATGGAAATTCCTGCAAGTTACTCTATTCTTTTCGTGATTTTTTAGGATTGTTTTAGCCTTCCAGCACGATATGCAAAGAAGGACCTGTCACTTGTCCTGTCCGTTTAAGACATATGATTATTAGTCCTTATAGCGTAGTCAATGTCCGTTCCCGACACATGATTACTAGTTCTTATAGGGTAGTCAATGTCCGTTCCCAACACATGATTACTAGTTCTTATAGGGTAGTCAATGTCCGTTCCCAACACATGATTACTAGTCCTTATAGCGTAGTCAAGGTCCGTTCCCGACACATGATTACTAGTCCTTATAGCGTATTCAATGTCCGTTCCCGACACATGATTACTAGTCCTTATAACGTAGTCAATGTCCGTTCCCGACATATGATTACTAGTCCTTACAGCGTAGTCAATATCCGTTCCCGACACATGATTACTAGTCCTTATAGCGTAGTCAAGGTCCGTTCCCGACACATGATTACTAGTCCTTATAGCGTAGTCAAGGTCCGTTCCCGACACATGATTACTAGTCCTTATAACGTAGTCAATGTCCGTTCCCGACATATGATTACTAGTCCTTACAGCGTAGTCAATATCCGTTCCCGACATATGATTACTAGTCCTTACAGCGTAGTCAATGTCCGTTCCCGACACATGATTACTAGTCCTTATAGCGTAGTCAAGGTCCGTTCCCGACACATGATTACTAGTCCTTATAGCGTAGTCAAGGTCCGTTCCCGACACATGATTACTAGTCCTTATAACGTAGTCAATGTCCGTTCCCGACATATGATTACTAGTCCTTACAGCGTAGTCGATATCCGTTCCCGACACATGATTACTAGTCCTTATAGCGTAGTCAAGGTCCGTTCCCGACACATGATTACTAGTCCTTATAGCGTAGTCAAGGTCCGTTCCCGACACATGATTACTAGTCCTTATAACGTAGTCAAGGTCAGTTTCCGACACATGATTACTAGTCCTTATAGCGTAGTCAAGGTCCGTTCCCGACACATGATTACAAGTCCTTATAGCGTAGTCAAGGTCCGTTCCCGACACATGATTACTAGTCCTTATAGCGTAGTCAATGTCCGTTCCCGACACATGATTATTAGTCCTTATAAGATAGTCAAGGTCCGTTCCCGACATATGATTACTAGTCCTTATAAGATAGTCAATGTCCGTTCCAGACACATGATTACTAGTCCTTATAACGTAGTCAATGCCCGTTCCCGACACATGATTACTAGTCCTTATAACGTAGTCAATGTCCGTTCCCGACACGTGATTACTAGTCCTTATAGCGTTGTCAATTCTGTTCCCGACATAATTACTAGTCCTTATAGCGTAGTCAATGTCCGTTCCCGACATATGCTTACTAGTCCTTACAGCGTAGTCAATATCCGTTCCCGACACATGATTACTAGTCCTTATAGCGTAGTCAATGTCCGTTCCCGTCACATGATTACTAGTCCTTATAGCGTAGTCAAGGTCCGTTCCCGACACATGATTACTAGTCCTTATAGCGTAGTCAATGTCCGTTCCCGACACATGATTACTAGTCCTTATAGCGTAGTCAATGTCCGGTGAGAATAAAAATCCTTCGGAAATTCTACCATGTCACCAATCTCCAGCTCCTCAAGAACTTGTTTATGCTTGGACGTAGGCCAGAATGACAAAGACATCTGTTCTTTCAAATGTTATATATATGAAAAAATAATAGAAATATACGCTTGCTATTGGTGTATACTACTTCAAATAAGAAACGAATATTACTGATATTCAAATTTTGAACATGTAACTTTCAGGTAGACACTGTTAGAGGACTTAAGTCCCAGAAATTTGCTGTAACCTGCTTGCCACGGTTAAATTCACTGGAAAATACACATGTACTTGACACTATTCTAAAATTGTCTGGTGTATGCAATTTACGGAATTTATCTAATTATGAGGCTGCTGCACCTCCCCGTCTAGACTTTTTACTTTTCTTTTGATTACTGTGGACTTTTGTCTTCGTCATGATACAATTTGCAACACCAATTTGTATTCAGAAATATGTTTAACTCATAAATGCACATTCCATAAACACCGTAACCAATAAGTAAATCAATATAATATACTAAAATAAAAATATCACATCGGAAATTATCTAGTAGCTCCAGAAATTCCCCTCTATATCAGGTTACCTGTACTTTACAACTTCCCCTTGAAAACTTAATAATATACGGTCTTCAAATAATTTCCTATCTGGCGTTTCGCTGAAAATATTGCCTTCCAGTTTCTTATGTATTTAGGTTTTGGAACAGATACCACCATATAACTACCGACCACAACCATCCGAACTACCAGATGATATCTGCTATCACAATATTACTTGAGCTATGATAACATTAGGTCAAAAGGAAGTTAGATTTAACTTATCAGCTCTTTATCTGAAGTATAGTGTAGAGATGTAAACCTGCCTATAATGATTCAAGGAATCGAGAAACGAAACTGAAAATAGTTTTATGTTAATTACGTCATCAACTGCAATAGGTACCCGGATATGAGCGTGTACAGCTTGTTTGTAAATACTTAGCTTTCTCGACTCTATTTATCAATGAATAATTGTAGCACCATCAGCTGAAAATGAAGAGAACAAGTTCCGGAAGATTCTGTTTACCGACAACCTGTCCTTATTTAGATGCCGGTTAGTACCAAGCATCGGAAACGCTCCAAGAAATGCAATCTTTCAAATAGTATCATTATTCGAATTGTCCGTGGTGTTTTACATTAAAACCTTCATCTCTCAAAACTCCGTGTCATGATAAGGTATGCCCAATACCAGTCAATAAGTTGATATACTAGGTAAGGGAAATGGGAATGCTACTATCGAGAAACGAAAAATTCATAGCCTTTAGCTATTGGCAAGTAGTTCCAGTTTGGCTTATAATAATTTGATATTCTGCATACCATGCATGCATCCGGAAGTGAAATTAGTGGATGTTCGCATGTGTTACATGCCATGATAAAATATTCCATGAATTCAATCTCGAAAGAAAACGAATAAGATTTGCTAATGAGGGCACATACCTTGTCTGCTCTTGCTATCAATGTAAAATAAAATGACTGAATCAGGCTTTCTCGCAATTTCACCTTCAGAATATTATATCTTTTTGCACATGTATTTTCTCTAGAGTTGTTTCTGAATAGTAGCCCAGTGCCTTCTTTTGGATATTCGTTAAGACATATTTGAAAAAATCTTCAACCAAAAGTGAAACAATGTTGCCTTATTCTGAAATTAATTCTTGTATTTTGTAGTGTTAGTGGTACATTTTGTAATCGTAATAAAACCTCATCAAAGTTACAGTGTCCTAGAGGATCCGATTTACCTTTAGTGTTCAGACCTTAATAGACGGGTTTACATCCTAGCTCTAATATCGCCCTGGGTGATGTTGATCTGTCTGCTGAATACTCGATATCGTAGACCTGACGCCAATGGTATCGTTATTCAATTCAATTTTCCGCATGTAGTAAACGAACTTAGCGGTTAATGTGTATTTGAGAGTGATTCTATTTATGTTCCAGAAACTTCTATGATAGGAGTAAGTGACCATTCTGAAACACATGTTAATGTGCAATTATCCGGCAAGACTTCAAAGATACAAAAATGATGTTTGTTTAATAATTTCTTCAGGACTGTAACAATTTTATCTCATCATTTCTTGAAGGTGCTAATCCATGTATTACCAAAGAAACAAATAATTATAAGAAAGGTGATAAGCAATTGTTTGATTAAAAATTCCGGAAGAAAAGAATATGTTGGTGTTACACGAATAAAACAAATAATTTCAGCACTATGAAATCATTGATAAACTACGGAAGCCGGTTAGTGCCACTTTTTTCATGAGTTAAATTTTTTTTTTGAGTCGTAATTACGACTTAGGTATCTCGTAATTACGACATAGCTATCTCGTAATTACGACTTAGCTATCTCGATATTACGACATAATTATCTAGTAATTACGACTTAGTTATCTCGTATTTACGACTTAACTATCTCATAATTACGACTTTGTTATCTCGTTATTACAACTTAGTCATCTTGTGATATTACGACAAAGACCGAACTGTTTTGCGGCAATGTTTACTTCCGTCGAATGGTAAGTTTATGCAAACATGTATACGTTTTCTTTTTCCTTCAGGACTGGGGAACCTTCCGATGCCATCTGTCAAAAACACGTGTGTGAGTCGACGGAAGTAAACATTGCCGCAAAACAGTTCGGTCTTTGTCGTAATATCACAAGATGACTAAGTTGTAATAACGAGATAACAAAGTCGTAATTATGAGATAGTTAAGTCGTAAATACGAGATAACTAAGTCGTAATTACTAGATAATTATGTCGTAATATCGAGATAACTAAGTCGTAATTACGAGATAGCTATGTCGTAATTACGAGATGTTTAGTCGTAATTACGAGATGCCAATTCGTAATTACGAGATACCTAAGTCGTAATTACGACTTAAAAAAAAATTAACTCATGAAAAAAGTGGCACTAACCGGCTTCCGTAATAAACTGATATGTTGCACTTTTTCAATTCTTATCATTGAAATTTTGTACTTGATAAATGCACTCTCAGTTCCATGCTCGCATTCCTGGCATGCTGTTCTTAATAACACATATATTTTGATGTCGCTAACTTCTTTGAGTATGTACTCAATAGTGTGTGGAGACGCTTACCATTATTAATTGTATTAAAACGTACACATCAGTAATATTGTGATAACTCGGTCATTTTATCATCATCCTCGATATTTAAGGGGTACCATTAAAATTGAAGGCACTACAAAAGTAATTTGATTGGATCCAGGAGAAAGAGAAAAAAATCACTGGCTGATGTACATCAAAGGAACAAACAAGTCTTCTCGTCTTATCCACAATGTGTCTCACATGGAGCCTTCGATTTTGCTATGACTTGCTCCAGGGGTGTGAGAGCGAAAGTGATCGTAACCCCTAGAGTATCGAGGATGTCTGTCATCCCCAAGTTTCCATCCAACAGGAAATCGGTAGAGGCTAGAATAGCTCTGCTACCATTGCAACACATGTTGACAAACAATGCACCACACTGACACATAGGGATAATAACGAAAATATTAAGTTGACATCTGATGACATGACGTTGACAAACAATGCTCTATACACATAGGGATACTAACGAAAATGTTCAGTTGGAAACACATTTCTCGAATATTGACAGATCAGTCTCGAAACATTTGTTTGTTACACAAAAATATATATTTCCAGTGTATACAGAAAACCATTCTTAAGTTATAAGGCTTTCATCATACCCTATTCGGAACGTGCAAGTGAATGGTTGTAACTAGAATAAGTCAAATTGAAAGCAGACATTATAATTAAAGGTCTACCTTTATTCCCAATGGACAAGTTTTGTGTGTAACATTTTAACATAATTCAAAATTGTTTAAAGATAATTTAACATAATTTGTGGATAACTGATTTTAAAATGTATGAAGCTTGGATGCCCAAAAGTTTCTGAAATTTAACTTTTGTCCTGTGATGAATTTTTGAAAGGCTAGATGTATATATGTATAGATGTATATAAAGTATTGAAAGTATCAAACATACCTATATGTTGCTACAGGCAGCAGAATAAGTGATTTAGGGGAATATGACAGCCACAAAGCTTGGATCTTGAAACTCAAGAAAAGTGAATCACCAGGTTAGCATTCACGTTTTTCAAATCTGTTATTTGTTGTCATAATTCATACAAAATTTCCAGAGTTATACCACGAACATCGTGGTTATTATCAAAAGAAGTACCCTAGATAATAGAAAAACGTTGAAATTGTTGACGCTGAAAGTCGAACCAAGATGTCAAATACGCCGTCACAAAAATGTAGTTCACACGAAAAAATACGGCATGTCATATTAAGAGCCCTACCGTCACGTGCAGTTATTGGTAACAATGTATAATAATACTCAAAATTCTATAATATTACGTTCGTATTTATTTCGTATGGAATTATCAACTTGTTCCGTTAAAACAGGAGTTTCATACATCCTCAATATCAAACTAACATTAAAACTACCTATTTAAACAGTAAAGATTCGCTCTTAAACCATTCAAACACATTTTTTGGATGGGATTTTTCACAAAACACTGCTGGATAAAATAAAGCACATTTAGTTATCATCAGATAATAGATCGCTTCAAACTGCTTGGTTGAAGAGACTGTTTCCAAGAAAAGCGCTGTCCATGTGATATATACACCTTTTACAGGCACATTGGACTCCGATAGAACAAGGATTCTTCTCGCTTGACTGTTTTTTTGATGCACTGCTCTGTTGATACTACTTGATATTATTGCTTAAACTTAAAATTGATAATCATCCAGTTTTGCATTTTTAGGTTATTTTTCTTTTTAATGATCAAGTAAACAGCGTTTTCGTTTGGAAAATTGTGAATAACAATGGTACTAATCCGGATTGTAAGCAACGTCCGTTTCGTCGTTTACATATTAGTTGGGGAAATCCCGCTATCTAAATATGGCCCCATCCATTTTGATCAGGAAACTGAAGCGAAAGGAACACGCAAAATGCCCATTGGATGACTAAAAATCGGGAGAAAACGTTGATAAGGTTTGTATACTGATGAAAGACCATTACTTTTGTAAGATCATGTCGTCCTTTCCTTAATGATACACGTATCAAAACACAAGGGCCTGCGTAAGTCACTGACAGTAGGATATATATAGGACAACTGAGAATTTTTGGATTAGGGTCTGTTCACATTGTTATACACATTAGATACAGTTGATAGTTATAGATTTATGTGTATTCTGGCCCCAAATCTATGTCAATTGGTTATTTGATACTCAAACTGCCACTAGTCATAAACGATTAAACAGATTTTGACAGAATTGGGTTGGAAGCATCCTTGAGGAAAGAAAAACAAATGGTGGGTCTTTGCTGCCTGAAATGGAGCCCAATACAGGAAATAGAGCAAACTCCTTAAAATTCTTCTTCTTCTGTAGGAATGCTTCGATTTTTTTCTTTAGGAATGCCTGGATTCTATCCAAATTTGATACAAAGCATTATTTGGTAAAAGAGAATCAATTTAAAGAAAAGATGGGTCTGAGCCCCTTGGGACTAGCTGGAGGGGTGTGGCCCAACAGGAGAAACCGATACAAATCTTTTATGTGCTTTACATTTAGTTTAAATAAAACAAGCTAAACTAGGTCATAGATGAGCAATATAGGCCTTATGGGCCCGTTTTCTGTAGTATTCTGATTGCCTTCCATAGTAAGACCCCTCTCAGGCTTCCATTCAGGCCAACAAATGTGATAACTATAAGTTGTTAAAACTTGTTTCATTGTTGTCAAATCAATCAAGTTATTATGCTTTTAGAAGAAACGAAAAAAAAAAAATGGTGAACATTTCTCAAATTCAAATTTAAATGGAAACAGGGGCTAGCATAGGTGATGCTTTGGTAGGGAATATTTTGAATTCATTGTACCAATCATTTTGCCTTAACATGCACATTTGTAAGTTTATGGGATTCTTGTTTTCAGACCTGTGACTTGGCAGCAAGTATCTATCACAGCTGGTCATGGCTCATGAGAGAAAGTGCAAAAAACATATACCTTTTACTGAACCAGAGGTGTGTGGAATATGTATGGACACATATAAAAACCCAAAGATTCTACCGTGTAGTCACACAATGTGCCAGCAATGTCTGGAGAGAATGTTAGCTTCTGGATATCGGTCTGACGTGCTTGTATGTCCAATATGTAGACAACATCACCAAGTCCCTGAGGGTGGCGTGGAAAAGTTCATGCCCAATTATTTTGTTCCCGCATCTTCAATGGAATCAGTTACTTGCAATGTATGCGATGCTATTTTATCAGACTTTCAAAAGAAATCCGGAAGATGTTCATATTGTGATGGACAGATGTGTGCTCATTGCTATCAGAAACATAGTCACCCTGAGAATGAAATTCGTGGATTTCAACAGGAAGATGAATATAGTGATGGATTGGATTTGGATGGCTCACATCGAAACACCATGCGCAACTTAATGATGCAACTTCAGGGTAGGACTCAGAGTATCCAGACTGGAAGCATGATAAACACATTTCTGTGTGAACAGCAACTGACACCACCAGTCAAGATCACCAGTATTGTTGTGACTAATGATAACAAAATGTGGGTTCTTGTTGGAAATGGACCTTTCATTATCAAGTACGATTCCAAAGGTATAGAACATGATAGAAAATTTGTTGATGGAAGATTGTTGGACATAGCACTACACAAAGATGGTTCCCTACTAATGGTTTTAGAGGGTTACCATTCTGTGATGTTGCACACCGAATCCGAAATACAGGAGTATGTGAATACCACAGAGAGTCTCCGTCCGCAGTGTATTCTTGTGCTTCCATCAGGATTTCTTTTTGTGACTGCTGTGAACTTGACCTCGGTACAACAGGAGCATGTCATCCTTGTTTACAATTGTGAGGGTTCTATTATTAATACCATTCAGAGTTACCAGGGGGGTGTTCCTTATGGCAGAATTACATCCCTTGCCTGTAATGTAAAACATGGACATATTTGCATCACAGATGATAAACGGCAATGTGTACTGTTCTTGAGGGAGGGTCTGTCTCCCCTGAGTTATACAAGATCTGATGGATTTCCGACGAGGAATCGTGGAGGTGGATTCTCAGACCCAAGGTATCGGGGCTTCAAACCAAAATCATCAACTTGTGATTCAAAGGGGAATGTGTTTGTGTATGATGATGCTTCAGGTCTGATACATGTTCTGAATTCGTCTGCCAAACTTTCAGGTATTGTCTTGACAAATGATGAAGAGTTGTCAGGAAATCCAAATTGTATAACCATTGACAATCAAGATAGGCTTTTGGTTGGGGATGAATTGTCTGGAAAAATCCGTATTTATGACATTGAGGCAAACTACAATAATCTTGGCCAGATAGATGAAAATGCTGGAGCCTTCTTTGCATCAATTCAGCAGCGGTTATCAGATGCAGGAGAAAATGGTATTCAGGAGCTGGTGGACATCTCCGCACAAATCAATATGAACCCAGACACTTTAATGAATTTTGTACTCAATCACCAACAACCTAGTTAATGAGTGGCATTTATGTAAACCATACGTGTAACTGTAAACTATTTTCTAAATTATGAAGAAGCTTTTATAGGTTATCGTGGTTAAATATGGGATTGAAAATAGAACTTTTTGTAGTCAGGTTAGTGTTACAATATGTGTTCATTGAAGCATGTATGAGAATAAACTTTTTTGTATTTAAATTATACAACCCTTTGCCAGACACTGGGGCAGCAAGATGGTCGGTCTTTGCTGTAATGACATTTCCAATTGAATATAATATATACATTTCTCAGATTTCATATGTAGACTTCCCTTGGTCCCTAGCTGTGCAAATATAATTTTGGGACCTATCCAAAAAAACAAAATGGCCCACATGTGGCTATGTTTTATTTTGAAAGTTGAAGCCTGTTATCACTATCCCTTGAAAATCACTGGATGCATCTTTCTAAAAGTGACATGTAGATTCCCTTAGTGCCTTGTTCAATGTTTGGATAGATCAAAAAAATAATATGGCGAACTGGTGACCATCTTGAATTATGAAAGTTGAAGTTTGTTATTGCGATATCTTGAGAGGTACAAGATTGATTTTCTTCTCAGATTTCACCAGCAGAATTTCAACTAGTCCCTTGTTAGGCATTGTCCATTATGTAACCAGTTAGAAGACCAAAACAGCTGATAGCAGCCATCTTGGATTTCGACAATTGAAGTTGGTTATTTCTACATCTTGATAAGTTTTCATATAATGTTAAATAGTTTTCCCTGGATCCCTAGATGTGCATATTTCATTTTTGGAAGGAAGGGAATTGCTACCAATAAAGATGATATAAAGGTGGTGCCAAGATCCCTCTGAGATTTCTTTCTCCTGGGATCTTGTTCAGCAGTTTTAAACTTGTCTCTTTCAAGGTTAGTAGTCTTCATCACTATGACACAAAGTTGTGGTTTTTAGAGCTATACCTCAAAAGCAATTCAGCTCTTTTCTACAAAATTTTGTACAACTATCAGTCTTTTAAGTGTCTGTATTTTCATACCAAAGCAAGAACAAGGGATAATGCTATGCTTTTTGCTCCTTATTTTATTACAACCTTTTTATCTGTCAGAGTTGATACTGTAGAGCTTCAATTTCCATGCTTCATATAACTCTCAATCCTTAACCATCAACATCTGCCATCAGAGATTCAAGTGTTAGTAGATGGGATCAGTGCTTTTCTGAAGTCATAAATATATATTATCTCTGCATTAGTTTTTTACTGCTTTCACAAAATTGACTGTTCTGCATTTAAGTAGATCTAAGTTAATACAGTACTATAAATCATAATATGATACTTCAGTCTTTATACTGAATAAATTGTATGCCATGCCCAGTAGAAAGTTGAGATAGGGAGATCTCAACCCAAGGAAAAAGATTACCTTGGTAAGTTGGTTAACATGTTGTCAAGTGTTTTCAACATAGTAATCTTTTCCCTGGGAATGTCACATAATTGATGTGACATCATAAACATAAAAGGGAAATCTCCTGGTCTCAAGTCTACCATGAGATGAGGAAATCTCACACTTTTAAAAATTGTGGATAAACCAGTCATGAGTGAGAGAAAAATTAATCATTTTTATGGTTTACTGATCAGAATGATCTGAACTGCAATGACAGCATTTGAGATCTGTTTTATATTGCAGGTGTTAGACTGGATTGGCCTATGAAACATGTTTTTTTTTAAATTGTTGATAAATAACAGTTGTTCTATATGTTTATGACTAAAACTCACTGTGATAAATTTTGGATAAAACATGTTTCTATCTGAAATAAATTGATTATAAAAATAAGTATCTGATACATCTTTATTGTATTTTACTACACCGATACACATAAGCAAGTAACAGTTGTTACATTTTTAAAAAACAAATATTATTACATATCTTGTGTTGTAGAGAGGAAAGTAAAACAAAAAGTGCTTATGATATACCAGTAATATTCATCTTAAAGTGCCGTATAAAAATCTGTCATTTCCTTTGGCTCAAATCCCTGTATGTCTACAGAAAGTCAAAGGAACAGCAGCAAAAGCAACAGGAAATGGGTCTTATAAAGAAGCTTTCATATTGGAAGCATTCTATAATGTTATTCCATTGCTTCAGCCACCTGTTTATAATTCTTTTTATCGCTATCTTTCAGATTTCCCAAGTAATTTGTTTATACTAAGGTCTAAGTAACACAAGATTTCTTTTGTTTGAAACGGAATATGCCAAAAGCTTCAACACTGCTTACAAACTGATAAATGTATGCAAATCATTGGTATTTTCATGTAGATTTAATGATTAAGTTAAAACTAAGTCTTCTCAGTATTGTAACTGAGGTCATTGTTTATTTCAATGCCTCTGGTCCTATTCGAACCTAGGACCTCTTATTTACTAGTCTGATGCTCAACTGATTGAGCTAAAGAGTTCTCTCTAGCCGAGCAATACATTTTGACAAACATTTTACTAGGGTTACATAATCCCCCACTCCCTCCAGGAAAAAATCCTTTGAGATTCCTGTGGTTGCAGTGATGTGTGTGGGACAATGCAAATTATTATCCCAGAGTCCCTAAATGAGTACCAATGTAACAATGGTCATTATTTATTTCAATGCCGCTGCTAGGATTCAAACCCAGAATCCCTGGTTTACTTGCCTCATAGCCTCTACCACTGCAGTCTAGAAAAGAAGTTTGAGGATCATTCTTCCAACAATGGAGGACATAGAACAAGAGGCAACAGTATCTGCTATTTTCTCGACAAGTTGTTATTGTAACATTGGTCAGCAGAGGTGAAAATGTTACATATATGAAGAGACAAGTTTATATAACTAGAACGACTAGACACAATTAGCAGCTATGTGAAATATGATGCATACACTGTATCATCTTCATCAAACTTGTTTGATGTTTTACTCAGATAAAACATTAGTAAGTCAGTTGGGTTACACATGCGTTGCATACAAACTGTGATGTCAATTTTGTACAAAATGGATTCAACTGTGATTTTTGTTCCTGGTATTGTACATTTTAGAGTTGGTCCTTCATTTTGATTCAGAACTGGCCTGTTATAGTATACAGTGTATTTAGATTTTCAGTGAATATGACTTATAAGTATGATCTGAACAAGTGATGGTGTGCTGCTTATAATAGCCCTAACAATACCTGAAAATGGCTGATGACCAGGTTTCTCAAAACTTCCTTAAGTTCCTTATAATTTTCTAATAGAGGCAAGTTTTACACCCATATGTACTATCAATCTTTCATCAAAAAAATAATTTTCTTTGGTAAAACATAACTTGACACTAAAATTTCATAACAAACAAATTTAATATTACAAATTCATGTAACATTGTCATGACTGTGTCTTTTCGAATCTTTTCAGCACATTTCCTGCTGTTGAGGCTCTGTGTTCCATATGCTTGTCACTGCGTGCCTTTTCGGTCTTTTTCTTCAATTCTTTTCTGATTAGTTCCTTCTGATGTTCTTCCACCACACCCTTCTTTCTCTGTTCTCTTTTCCTTCCTTTATTCTTTCCTTTCATTTTATATTTTGGAGTGTAATCCATCAATTCTGGCTTTAATGTCTGAAATCATACAAATATCATATCAAATATGGAATTTTCATATACATATTTTATATTTAGAAATGACAGAGGACAAACCTATTGACCTGATGACGTTAAATACCATTTAAGGGACATTAGTTACCATATTACAACAAACTTTGTAAACAAGAGCATCAGTGACACTGATGAATGCCCCCCCCCCCCCCCCCAAAATGGCTTTATTAAAAACAAAAAGCCCAATAATTTTCTGATTATGGGGTTAAGGCCCTGAATTTGAAACTCTTCACATTGTCTTAGTATGATCAATTCATCCAACAAGTTTCATTATCCTTGTTTAAATGCAAGTAATTTAAAGTTTTATTTTAAATACAAATTTTAAATGAAGGGCAATAACTCTGTTATTGAGGGATTGCAGGCCCTGAATTTGGTACACTGCACATTTATCACCAAGGTTTGTTATCCTATTGTATATGCAAGCAAAATTATATGCTCTGGACATGAAAGTAAAGACTTTGATTTATATAAAATTTAATTCCCTTTACTTAATGGTGCTTTAGAACAAATTAGGAAAAATCTGATAGATCTTCCAAATTAGTAATGTTTTAAAAGAAAAAAATTGGCAAACTGACAAATGCCATGGAAGGGCAATATCTCACATGTAGGGCTAGGCAAGCTAACAAGGTGCTAAAGCAAGGACAATACAATACACAAAACAGTTTCATACTGTGGGTTCTACTCCTTCTGTCCATACCTTGATTGTATTTGTCAGCTCAATCCTCTGCTTGAAAGTTTTGATGTCAATCTCACCAATCTTGTCATTTAGGTGGATCATATCTGCTGGGATCTACAAGTCAAATGTAATATGATCATATCTGCTGGGATCTACAAGTCAAATGTAATATGATCATATCTGCTGGGATCTACAAGTCAAATGTAATATGATCATATCTGCTGGGATCTACAAGTCAAATGTAATATGATCATATCTGCTGGGATCTACAAGTCAAATGTAATATGATCATATCTGCTGGGATCTACAAGTCAAATGTAATATGTCATAATCAAATGTAATATGATCATATCTGCTGGGATCTACAAGTCAAATGTAATATGATCATATCTGCTGGGATCTACAAGTCAAATGTAATATGATCATATCTGCTGGGATCTACAAGTCAAATGTAATATGATCATATCTGCTGGGATCTACAAGTCAAATGTAATATGATCATATCTGCTGGGATCTACAAGTCAAATGAAATATGATCATATCTGCTGGGATCTACAAGTCAAATGTAATATGATCATATCTGCTGGGATCTACAAGTCAAATGTAATATGATCATATCTGCTGGGATCTACAAATATGATCATATCTGTCTAAATGTAATATGATCATATCTGCTGGGATCTACAAGTCAAATGTAATATGATCATATCTGCTGGGATCTACAAGTCAAATGTAATATGATCATATCTGCTGGGATCTACAAGTCAAATGTAATATGATCATATCTGCTGGGATCTACAAGTCAAATGTAATACATGTAATTCTATATGTTTATAGTTTGATGACTGTAGCATGTGTTCTGGTGTACATAAACATGTTTATGAAATTCCAATACTGGACAGTTTTAATTCTGATGTGCAAATTCAGTGTTTAAAACCTAATTTGGTTATTTAAGTTTTATCATGTTTCCATGGAAATATGCTAATCTAGTTACAAATTACTTCAATGATAAATTTGATTAATTTTTGTAACAATTTAGATGAAGTACATGCATTCCCAAGAAAGGGTTAGGCTGCATGGACTTCAATCCATCTGACTTTAAGTATAAATGTTCAAATGAGTGGAAAGATTTACATGCAGCTTATTAAAACAAGTGGTTTTGAATTCACACGACCTGGTTACCTGCTGAATACTAACATAGTAAGACTCTTTTCTTAACAGTTCTGAAGAGGAAGATAATGACAGGGAAGCAACAGACACTTAACATCTCACCTCAAATTCTTTGTCTTATGAAGTTTTTTTTAACACAAACAATAAATTATCAAATTAAATCTAATTTGTGTAATTAAAAGATTTCACACTGCAACATTACACTGCTCTCAGATCAGGCCTGCTTTCAAGTGAATGAAAATCAAGAACTGACAAATCATGTTTAGTTTATTGGTCGGCAGGTTATACCTTGTCTAGAAGCATCTTGACCTCAGCCTGACGTCTCTGATTTTTACTCTGGAAAGGGTTTGCCTCCAGAGCATCAAAGTTAGGCTCACCAGCACCTGTAGGTCAAAGTAAACAACCAGAAAATGCAAATCACTAAACATATTCATACTATGTAGAATTTTTCAAAAAAACGTTTTGTGCATTCCGTCTTATACTTTTCAATATTTCATCCCTAAATGTGAAGAGTTTCATGATGTTATATAAGATTACATGAATTCTGAATATAAGATATGTTACAGCACTGAGAAAGCCTAGATATTTTGAAATCAAACAAAAACACAAAAAGATTCTAAAGTTATAAATAAAGAACAAACAAATTGTCTTGACATACCTGGGATAAGTAGACTCTCAAAGCCTCGTTGATGGCCTACACCAAGTACATCCTCGTAAGGACAAAACTGGAGATTTGTTACCGACCCTGGGAGACGGTGACACATGTAAGGGGAGGTAACTGTCTGTCTGCAGCAGTCATTGTATATCTGGGTAAATAATTGAAAATATTAATTGACCAAATTGTAATGCAATATAAAAGAGTGACTGAAATTAGCAAAACAGAAGTATCTCGAAACTTCATACCATGATATACGAATCAAGCATTCCTATGAAAATAAAACCAGATAATTTAACACTGTTATATCAGTCACACTGTTATATCAGTCCCTCTGCTTCTGTCAAATAACTTAAGGTACACTTTGAGAGTACTTTCAGAACTCTTCTTATATAACTGGTTATGCTACATCAAAATATTTCACATACTGATCCTATTATGATCAATTATAATGGTAATCACTACAATATCATGTTGTCTATTTGTGGTAGAAATAATTAAAGAATTTCTTCCATTTGTAAACCATTGAAATATTTTACATCTGTCTCTGAAAAATCACCATTAATACAAATATACTTTCACATGAACATCCTTTTCACCTGTGTTGATATTTTTCCTCCTTTTTACAATTTTTTTCTCACATGTCCATCAATTTTCTCATCCTGTTCAGTGTCCAGACCACTTGACCCTTTGATCATTCAAGTTACCATACATACAGTTTAACCTTGTTATCTTTAACTCTTAGAATCCAAAGATCTAAATTTATTACAAGTATTTAGTTCTCTCAGCAAATCTCTACACTAAACATTCTAACTATAAATCAAATACTCTTAAAACTTTTCCACTTCCCAAAGACTCTGAGATAACAAGTAAATGTCCTCATGCAAATTTATCCACGAATGTATCCATACTACTTTAATTAACAAACTGATTTTGGTATAATCTGTCCTTGTTGTACCTCCACTATATTGCCCTTGCTGACAGCTAGCATGTCCCTCTGACTAAAAGCTAGAGCACTAGCTCCAATTCCAATTTGATATGACTGGAGCATCTTGTAAGTACGGATATCCCAAATCTTCAATTTCCTGTCTATACCTGATGTCGCTAGGTATCTGTAAACAAAAATCACCCGTAAGATCAAATTGCCTTCCACAGTGAAACTCAACCTAAGATCATTGGATTTTTTTTGGCAGAAATATTTTATTTTCAGATGAAAATGTTGCTTGCATGGACTAAACCAGATTGCTTTGTTGTTAAAATGAATCTTCCACATAAGGTATTAAAAACCATGATCACAATAAATCCTGTCAGATGTAACAATGCATAACTAGTAATATCCAAGGTATCAGTAAATAATTACAAAATCCAAAGTCACTATTCAGTCAATGCATTAAGATCCACACTTAGCAATATTTCTCATACATGAGGCTTGGAAATCTAACATCCAATCCAGGGCTTGATGTCTTTTCTAATCTATTTAGTGTCTCTACACATCATTTGGTAATGAAAATGACGTCACTGTAATTTTTTTAATTTTTTTTAAAAAATGTATTTCAGTCAGATGTATAGTTCAAAAGGGAGGTTATTTAGCTGAATTAAATATTTTAGAAGTGAAATTAATTGATAAAAGTTTTCATCCAATATTCACACAATGATATATGAGAAACATGATCTTTTACCAGTATAAAATTTACAATAAACTTCTCTTAGACTTAGACTGCCACATCAAAGTTGACTTGAGAGGAAGCAGAGAACAGGATTTTGTTACAAAATGTCAGCCCTCGATGACTATTAATTAATGTTGAATATGTATAGATAACAGATTGTATTAAATCAAAAGCAATCCACTTGGGACAAAAATGGTCCTGACATCAAAGTAAAAATATCTGTAGATGTTCATACTTACTTTCCCTGTGGATCCACAGCGATCGATCGGACACCATTCCTGTGACAGAGCATCTTTACCAACGGTTCCTTCACATTTGGCGACCACATCGTCACAGTACCTGGAATTTACATTAATTGAAATGACTAACAAACACTTGGTTTTTGAAGAACTATTGTATTTATCTTAATAAGCACCCCTGACCATACAAAAGCATCCCAACCTGTTCTTATTGAAAAGAAACTCATATGAAAACACTGCTTACTTCAAACCTTTTAACTCTTTGTTTCCCATATACTAAGCCATTAATTATTACAGTCAACTTTTTAATGAAAACAAATTGTGTTTTTTACCCTTTCAGTTTCATGTCTTAGTAAATCAAACTTTTACTTTTCTTTTTGATAAACATTTATTTTCTTTTGTGTCATAGTACACATTGACTTATTGGATTCAGTGAAGGTAATAATTTTACAGATTACAAACCACACCTCTTTTCCTCATGAGTGAAATCATTTCTTACCTCCAGCATGTCCTAAACACAGTGTAGCATTGCTTGGATTCTGACACATCACATCTAATCTGCCTAAACCTGTTGTATGTCCTGCTACCTTTTCGCCAATAGACACATCAATCCAAGACAAATAACCCTTTGAACTCTGAGAAAGTAAGAAAAAATTCTAAATATAGATAGAGATTTCGGAACCATGAAATTATTTCTTTAGATTTACCAAACTATGTTTGAGACTGAATTACCTGAAATCTTACAAAAACACACTGACACATGCAACGGATACCATTTAAATATTTGTATCTAATACAAATATAAATAACAGTTGAATATATCTGAAGGTGAGTGCAGAGAGATAAATATTTTTTCTTCTTATTGTATTGTACAAGTTTTTCTCTAAGTAAATTTGTTTTATAAGTTACATTTCAAGCACAAATAAAATAAAAACGTTACTGGGGTAACTATAAATGTGCCAATGTACCAGCTGTAGGTGATGTAATTATACTGCAAGTTTCATCAAGATATCTTCAACAATTTAGAAGTTAAAGCCGTGATAATAAATCATTGGAAGAACCAATACCAGAAGAACTGGTCTCCATTCATTCACCAGAGAGACGTGATTATTAAAACCTAAATATTACGGCAACTCAATCAACTGATAAATAGATTATTCTCAAACTGTTCATCAGACCAACACATTAATTTTACTTTGTAAACACCTAGCTTATTAAGAATATCTAGCTGTTCTGTCTGATAGGAAGACATTTCTCACCGCACTGGCCAGCAGGAAGTGGAAGGGAAGGAACTCTAATCGTAAGGCACAGTCCACCATCTTTAGACAATGGAGCTCTACACCCTGGTTGTCATAGATGTATGTCCATTGTTTCTGAGCTACTGCATACATGGTCTCCTGATGAAGCCATCTAACAGAAAATGTTCAAATTTTCATTAAATATTGCACATTTAGAGCTGACAATGCAAATTAAAAAGAATTCATTTTAAGATAAAAAAGTTTACGTTTTCTTTATACAAGCCAAGTTATTTTTTACTGGAAACAATCTCAAGTCTAAAATAATCTGAAGTTTTGATCAAGTCAATCACAGATTTCAGTATAAAAGGAAATGTCATATGTGAATGGCTGAGGAGAAACTAGATTGTTTCCTAATCCACTAGCCAGTGATCAATATGTGTACACTAGATAAGACAGATCATGTAAGGTGATTACTACATAGTACCTGTATTTACAAATATGTGTTCCCCTACCCAAATGCGAAACTTACATAAGAATGTTTCAACTATGCATAGTCCTTACATGAAACAAACTAACCAACCAGAGTTTTCAAAAAAATGGAAACAAATAAAATTCTATATTTTACTGTCATTTTCCTAATAGGAGTTCCCAATTACCCAGTTTGTGAATATTCAGACAGAAAGTGAAATCCAGATGAGATCCCTTATGATATTACAACAATTATTATCCTTATATATTGGTTGTGAAACAATTAACTTCAATGTCTTGGCATATGATAAACTCCAGTATTTTTGAATAATTATCTTTTATATGTTGTAAATCATGAATGGTTGAATTTGTCAATCATATATCAAAATTACATGTATTCCTGTTGTAGAAGAAAATCTGCTGATAAATTATATATACTCATGGACTAAATTTTTGTGGGGGTTTTTTAATGAAATTTTCTAGGACACTTGATTTTTTGAATGAATATAGCGCAACGTATCTACTTATATTTGCTTAACAATTTGTAGACATATGAATTTGTGGATGACAATAAAATCTGCTGAAAATTGATGGATCTACAGTATATCAAAATCATATGTATTTCTACACTTCGAAATATGGTAACTGCTACAAATAAGTGCACTTTATTATTTTTGATAAATAAAACATTCCAAGGTATTTATAAAACTGTATCTATACGTACTTGACATCATGAATTGTTTCCATGACATTGATTTCACACAATAATTTCTTGGTCAACCAATCAATAGCTGCAATATGGCCTTTAGCTCCGCCCAACAACAGAAATCGCCCATTCCTCGTATACTGAGAGCGATAAGGTCCAAAATCATTCAATTTCAGTTCAAAATGCTGCAAAAAAAAGCACATACATATATGACAAAAAAAAATCTCTTTTTACATGTAAATCGAAAGTAGAGAAAATTGTATGTTTGTTAATCTGAAATGAATATATCTTATTTGAATTAAAATCACTTTATATGTTTTACTGAAAGCTCCTATCAAACAAGAGAACTGTCTGGACAGTTCAGTTACCAATGGTTAAACAATAATCTCTACAATGCAGACAAGAAATCTTCTGAAAAAGTAGACAGAAGCTGTTGCTACCATATTTCAAGTTTTATTAACTACTAAGGAATCATCTACATTTCACAGGATATCTTGCTATGAAACACACAACTATACAGTTGATAAGCCAACATTCAGTGGTGTTTTGATAATGACTGTAACATCAGATTTACTTGGCTTGCCCATTGATTGGGATTTATTTACTTTTTGTGCACTCATGATGTCCACAGCTGCTACAATGTCATTCTGGGATATCTCTGTAGTATGTCTACTCTCATCTCCTTCAAGGTACCTACAACAGTAAATTATCATTAGCAGGTCTTCTACCAAGTGTTTTTGTATTAATATCTCTACATAAAGACTTATATCATAGAGGAAATCTTACCTAATCCAACCTCCACTGTTAACAGGTATTCTGTAATTAATATTCCTAGATACAAAGTTCTACACTGACTTACATCAGACAAAGTGGAAATCTTACCCGGCCTCCTCTGTCAACAGGTATTCTGATCTTGCTGCCTGTTTCACAGCTGCTTCCAGCTTCCTTTCTCTCATACGAAACTCATTCTTGGCCAATTTCGATCTGGCCCATTTCTGCATAATAAATCACAATTATTTTCTCTAACGTATTTCCATTACAAATGAACCTATCATTCATATCTAACAGAGAATATCTTATTAATTTGTGAGTGACTAAGCTGTCTGTAACATTATTTCAAAATCTCTTCTCCAATGAAAACAAATTAAGTCAAATGGAATGGGCTAAAGATGGACACATCATTCAATTATATAGTTATATCAGTTTTCATGCTGGGGGTGACAATTACCCAATTTGTGAATAAGGATTGTGCAACTACAGTCACATCTCAGATGGTGCCACACTAGTCACATCTACGGTGGTGCATAGTTCCGACATTCTATGATTTTAAGGCAATGTCTCCTCATAGTAGCTAGTGACCACCTCAATGTTATCCAGAGCAATTAGGGAAAAGTGTTTTGCCAAGGATGGAACCCATGTTAATACAGATTGGTTCATACTTCAGCTTTCTGAGAAACACCACAGGTAGATATGTCAAAACCACACACCTCAGATCTTCACCTGATGTTGTATACAGTAGGCAAAGTCTCTGCTGACTAAATTATCCTGGCCCCTAGTTACATTTAGGATGGTACAACACAACTGTGAAGCCATACACATGGTGAAACACTTGTCACACATGCACCATTAGTCATACCTAGGATGATGAGACATTACTCACTGTAGCAGTTTGGTTTCCTCTCTGATATTTCTTCATTTTCTCTACAGGTAACGGAGCATCACCTGGAAAAGGATCTTTCTGAAAGACATCAAAAAAGCAAATTGTACATACAGATACAGAATTCTTCCTACACAGCTGCATGGTCATAATATATTTGTCATTAACATTACAACTTTTATATTTTTGCCACTGACCTTAAAAAATGATAACTACCATTCTAGGAAAACTCTTCTGGACATTTTTGGTATCTAAGATATGTCTGTCACTTATATATCTAATGACCACACTAATACTGCCTGATGGTACAAGTTAAATAGTTTTAAATCAATTCCAAAATTCCATTAAAATACAATAAATTTAACCTCCTTTCTGAAGTCTCTGTATTCTCCTCCATGTTTTCCTTTTTTGCCATGTCGTTCTCTGTGTTTCTGTTGGTATAGTTTTCTACTTGTACCCAAGTCAAACACTTTTACATCTTCACCAGGATCTGCTACATAACTTTTTGGCTTTGTACCTTTGTGTTTCTGTTTAGGACATTCATTCTGAAAAAGACAAATACTTGATATTGTCTACATGACACAAACAATTCTGAAAGGAGAGGTCCTGAATTCTTGTTACATCGATATTTTGTATATACATTAAAACTTTTAGTGTAATGGGCAGAAATAACTGAAAGCCTAGTTGGGTTTGGACTAGTGACCTTTCAATCTCTAGCCTCACATGTACACTCTACCACTCATATATCAACTAAAATCTTCCAACCAGCCGAGGCTAGTAAGGCCACCTGTACTCTCAACTTCTATACTAGAACCTTTTACTAAATTTGAAGAACCAAATAATGCATACCATTGGGTATTTTATCAACACTAAAAACCAACATTCAAGTGCACACAGCCATTTCCTTCCCATATTATAAACAGCTACACATGTTGAACTACCAGTTTTAGCGTAACATCAATATCTTTTTATCAGAAATCAATATAAATTTTAATTACACACATGAAAGACTTTAAATACAGCATAACCAAGAGGTTTATAATGTCACTAAGGTGAATGGTAGTACATGTAATTAGAGCTTGTGTTTAAATCTAAGTGTTAAAACCAACCAACACCCTGGCATGACGAAATGCAAGTATGTGATTATGGTTAAACAGAAACATTCACAATGTTCCATGAATAACATTACAATTAACATTTCATATGAATGATACTAAAAACACAATGTACTACCATATATCCTAACCAAGGATTTTGAATTGCTGAATGCTTCCATTGAATTTGTTTGCAAATTAATACCATAAAAATGTATGAACTAAATTAAATAAATTCTCTCTTTTTCTTTGATTTGTGTACCTAGCCTACTACTTAAATGTATTTTTTAGATATACATAATTATGAAAATCATCTGCTAGTCAGTTACCTTCTTTTCCTTTTGTTCTTTTTCTTGCAACTTTTCACTGGAACTAGCCTGGTCAGATGGGACAACAAAATATCGATTTGGTTTCACTGCTTTGCCACCTTCATTTTTCTTTCTTTTGATGTCATTATCCTGGAAACATAATATATGTAACTAAATGAGGCATACACATTGTACAATATATTTCTATGATATACTGTGAACCTGCTTATTCTATTTTCCAGATTAAAGTATTGTTATTACCAGTATATTATAATAACTGAGCAATCTATTCAGGTCGGGAAAACCTACCTGAGATTACCATAATACACCAATATACTGCATAACATGAAATGTACATACAATAAGAAGTTTAATGCAGACAATACCAAAACATGATGATTTTCAGTTTTAAAAGATTTGTGAATATCATGTAACATAATTCTATATGTATGTATATGTAGATACAAGTATTAAAACAAAAGAAAGTTCTACACAACAAATATTTCATGTTATGCAATATACTGCGGCGTGACATCATTAACAGCAGCCTATTGATGTGTTTGGTCATGCACACAGTCAGGTTAACTTATTCTTCAATGAAACCTTAAAGTTTGATGTTCTACTCACAGGCATGTTGCAAAAAAATCTTAAGGAAACCTTACAATTACAACTGGCGTTCTTTGCAACTGTTACCCACTCGACAATTTCTGGTACAATTAGAGGTACAACAACACCCTACTAATGGACCTTGAGAAATTCAGCAGTGCCACTATAGGATCCATACACATCTCCCACACAACATGTGCCGATGACACTGCCCTCCTTACACATAGTGAAGCTGCGATGCAGAGTATGCTAGACTACGTAGAAGTATTCACAAAACACTCAAGATACAACATCAACCCCACAAAAAAGCAGGTACTTCTCTACAATGTACAACAATCAGATGTTAAACTCAAGATATACAATAAGGAGACAGAGATAGCTGAAGAAAATGAACACCTTGGGATAATCAGGAACAATATCAACATCTGCCCAGACACAACAAAAAGGATACAGTTAGGACAACGAACTGCCTATTTGTTAATGGGTGCTGGTTTCCATGGGAAAAGTGGAGTTACACAGGAAATTAAGGCTAACCTCTGGAATACCTATGTAACCCCAAGACTTCTATATGGCTTAGGGATCCTTCACCTGGCATCTAAAGATATCAACACTCTAGAAGTATTTCAAAGAAAAACTCTTAGTCAAATCCAGCACCTTCCAAATAGAACGCCAATCTCGATGGCCCTAGCACTTCTAGGAATCTCGACCGTCGAATCAGTAATACACAAGAATACTCTTAACCTATTCGACAACATAGCAGACAGAAAGGACAGTACTGAATACGAGATCGCCACACGACAGCTAGCTCTACAGAAGTTAAGTTCCTCCAGCTTCTTCGCATCTGTCAGAAGAATACTACTTAAGTATGATTTACCAAGCGCCTTTGACTTGTTGAAAGAGTTACCACCAAAAACTGTTTGGAAAAAGATGATAAACACCGCCATAAATAACAAAGTAGAAGAAGAATGGACAGAAGACATAAAGACAAAACCTTCACTAAAATATGTCAATACTGAAACACTCAAGGTCAGAAGAGTCCATCATTTATACGACGACATCTCAAGTAGCTCATATGATATCCAAAGAGCAGATGTAAAAAAACTCTTACTGGGAACTTATACATTTCAGAGCAACAGGGCCAAATTCAACCAATATGAAGTCGACCCTACGTGTAAGCTTTGTAGGACAGCTCCAGAGACACGTCAGCACTTTTTGGCAGAATGCCCATCTCTTACCAGTATCAGACAATCAACCATTACAAGATTTCAGACTATCAAGCCGGTAGCCTCCAGTTTAGAAGTCCTTAACGACCCGGAACTCCTCACACAGCTTCTGATTGACAGCACCCATCCAACTCTTACACAGATGGCTGCCCTTAGTAAAGATGACATAAGACGTATAGAGAGAACAAGTAGGGAGTACATTTTTAAGTCTCATTTAAAAAGGTCATACATTCTAAGTACACTCAGTTAGCCACACTAGTGTCATAAAGCTGAACCACTATTTTATTTCACAGTATGCCTCATTACAATAGCCCTCAAGTTACGCTATCCACTCATTAACATACTCATGGTGACACAACCGAAGCTATTCTATCCTGAATCATGTGAATAGTCAAGATAGCTGTAAGGTCAACTCGAACGCAAGGTGTACTGAACTCTTCGATTAAAACACCCAGATCCATATATATTAGCCTCAATGCGGATTTTAAGACATTCATTGTGTATAGTGTACAGTGTAAATAGACTGCGCATGTGTGGTGAAGGTACATTTTGAACTTTTTATAGTGAAAACGTACGACGCTGGAAACCCAATTCTAGTGGTGCCTCGACAAGTCAACGGGGGAACTTCAAGATACAAGATACTGCTCCTTCAAAAGCTCTTGAGATAGCAAGATCTACATTGGGCATATATGTATATATAAACGGGCAACATGAAAAATACAATATTACACCTGTTGTGCCCTTTGGTGTGTTTTATTATCCTCGACAGTCCCAGGCCCAGTATGACACAGGCAGTCCCACTCATCGATGGGAAAACAAATCGGCATAATAGATACATACAAAAAAAATGTATTTTCCAACAGAAATGGATGAAACCAATGCCCGTTTTTGTACTTAATCAACACTATATGAACAGTCTTAAGACACATCAAAATCTCAATGCTAAGCCAGTCGCTTATAATAGTGTTTATTCAAAACTTAATTTAGGATTCTTGACTTCAACATTTATTAGGTTTTTTACCAGTAGCAGTAATTTTTGGGCGTCCGTTCAGTAGTATATCGTAATATTTGTCCGCGTTGGACCCATCTTACGTAACTTTTTTATGAATAAAATTTCATGGTGAATTCATCTCTCCTCTGAGAATTATTGACAAACACTTACGTTGTTTTCTGCACCCAACACATCCATGATTCAGTTTGTTCGATCTGTCCATGTGCTTTACACTTCCGTATCAACAAGCGCATGCGAACCTCAAACAGGAAGCATGATTTGATTGGTCTAAAGGAATTTGGCGCTGGTTTCAGTGTTGTTGTTCCTCAAGGTAGGGATAATTCGTCTGGTAAGTTGAAGAAAAAAATCAGAACTGGTGTGTTTCATATAAGTGTAGTGAACTATATCAATGACTTTGTGTATTTCATAATGTATTTTACTTAAAAAGTGAAATCTTCTAGATTTTTTCGAAGAAAACACGTCTAGTTTTTGTTTACAAAATTGGTTGATATATGCATATGTCGTAACAGTCTCAATCATATCACAAACTAAGGCGGGTACTTGTGCCAAAGATAAACTTTGCAACAAGAACTTCCTCAATGTAACATGTACTTGTGCATGTGCGGTAGTAGTTGGACACGTATACTTACAAAAATATCGATCGATTAACATCACAACGTAAATATCTTTCTTCGCAGGTCTGTGTAAACAGCCTCAAATCTGGTGACCAAACTCACTTGTTCAGCATGAGCAGCACAGACGATATTCCTTATCATACTAGCCCAGAGGACTACAGCTTGTCTGACCATGGTTTTACTCCAAAGAGGAAGAAATCTCCGCCAGCATGGGACTCATTACCAGGTTTAAAATATAAATAAACTAAAATTGGCGGGGGATGGGGGTAGCAACTGTAATAGGAGGGGGTAAAATTAAAAATGACCTGACCCAACTGGGACTTAAAATATAATCCTTTCGCTCTTGTGGTAGACACTACTGCCAGTATTAAACTTGAGTTGTCACTCAGGTGAAGGTAAGGAACAATAACTCTGGTAGATATTGTCTCTACCATTCCGACAAAGGGAAATTATAATAAGTAGTTAACCTGTACAATCTTTTATTACTCATACACGCACTGATCGACCAATATCATGATACCTAATATGGAATAGGAATTTAAAGTAGTAAGGACAAATTGTGCCTAGACCCACTGGTGCTCGAGCTAACGGTAAACTATTTGCTGTTTCGGCATATACTGTAGCAACCACTGGTCAAGGCTTGTGAGGTTATCTGTAATCTCTACTTTTACAGCTGTACTGTTTGTCCAATATTTGGAAATTGCTGAGTTATATGTTTCAGAAAACATAAATGACATTTACATGTGATCTCTAGTTATCGAGGCAAATACCTGTGGTTTATCATTCTGGGAACGGTCAGGGACATTTTAAGGTGAAATCACCTGGTGGTATATGCAGAGATTGTAGCTTTCTTGCTATATCACTGGTAACCATATGGGAGGCCCACTACATATTATCTAGATGAACTATAAGTAGAAAAGTGTCTTGCTCATTCCAATGACACAACCATACCACATGATACAGTCTGTGATCTCCGCTCCCTTAGAAAAGCCCAGGAAAGGATCACAACATTAAGTGTCATCAAGATCATATTCCATAGACTTTCACTTCTGATCTGCCACAAAATCAGTTTCCTGTTGTAGTTGGTCTGTATGAGTAGCCATCTTGACTTGATTACTTCATCTTTTAATTTTTCTGTATTTTGTGTAACAAATGTTGAAATCAAAACCTGCACATGTATTGTATCATAACTCTATATTTATCTTTTGTTTTTCCAGTTGATGTACAGGAGGAAATAGGATGCATGTATGAATTTTTACCAGAAATTGCTGAGCACTTTGTTGTTCTAAACAAAATAGGAGAAGGTTTGTATTCACAGTTATATATGTAATAGCAATTTATTTATTTACTTCATCTGAATAATAGAATTGCTGCTGGTAATGCTTTTTCATACCTGTTTCAGTATGATTCTTTGACAATAAAAATCACATAATTCATCCAGCTAGATAAGAAGAAAATGTGTTTGACAAATTTATATAATGATACAAAGTTGTAATCCAGAGATAATAAATTTTCTTTGTTGTGATTTACAGGAACATTCAGCTCAGTTTTCCTGGCTAAACTAAAACACTACAGTGAGGTGAAACAGTTGTTTGCTTTGAAGCACATCATCCCAACCAGCCATCCTAGTCGAATTGAGGGCGAGCTCAAATGTCTACAAGAAATTGGGTAAATTGGAGCAAATCCAAACCAGTTTTACAACAGGCTGTATAGTACATTTATCAGCATTGATAACTTAATTCTAGTTTGCCTTATACAGCTTCCTACCCATGTCATGTGTTATGATAATACATATCTGTGTAGCAGCACATTAGATACATGAGAAATCATTGATTGCTGGTTGGTATGTATTAGACATTTCTTGTAATAACTGAATATCTATATTTAGTTAGAAGGTGTCTGAAAGAATAACACTCTTCCCTTTCTCATTTAGAATAATAAATTGCCCTCATTGGAAGTCTTTTTTTCTAGGGCACGGTCATGATGTCAATGATTTGTGTTAAAGTGTTTATTATCTGTGCGAGGACCTGCAAATTTAATTTTCAATTAATCAGTAATTTTCGTAGGATTTTTTCTGCAACCATTTTCATAATGCAATGGGTTCATAAAATTTGAGTACTAAAGGAAAAGCATGAGACAGTGACTCGAATAGTTGAGTCACAAAATACACTGAATGCCCCAAACCAATAGCTCTTTAAAAGTTATATTTCACAGATAAAGGTTTCAGTATTTAAGTCTAATCGACTGACTTTTGTGTCCTGGTTTATTTGTATTAATTATTTTCTTTGTAGTGTTAATTTGATGATTTTATGTTGTATGATTGTTGATATAGTGGCTGTGACAATGTGATGGGTGTAGAGCTGTGTATCAGGAACAAAGATCATGTCGTCATTGTAATGCCTTACTTTCCACATGAAAAGTTTCAGGTATGTATTGAAATTATGTATATCACAAAATATAGTTATCCAAACTAGAACGACTGATTCAACAGAGGTATAGTATACCTACATTCCGTGTACATAGATATTTGTAATTCTTAATTGAAAATCAAGACTCTAGATCTGGTTCTATGTAACCTGACAGGTATATCCAAGTACTACTAACCAAAAAGATAACTTTTGGATTTAGAGATTGTAGTAATATCTTTATTTTTTAAGTAGAGATATTATTTGATAATAAACAGTAAATAAAAAATATACTGTTTTATACTCTCTGCAATTAAGTTGGAATCTGCTTGTCTGTCTCTCTGCAGAAAAAATTGCCCTGACAACTTGTGGTGCCATTTCAATGAAACTACACAAGAATATTGGCCACCATGTTTAGATATGCATGCACTTTTTAGCAAAAATTTGGGTTGCCATAGTAACTTGATCACTATACACAGGTTTCAATGGAAAAAAGATGGTTTGGTCAACTCCTAAATCTCTGAACTGATTTCATTGAATCTACACAGGAATGTTAGGGACCATTAGTAGATGTGCATGCAGATGGAGTTTTGTTTTAAACAGAAAATTGGGTTGCCATGGTAACCAGGTCACTAAACAAAGGTATTGATATGGAGTGACATAACTCTCAACCCAGTCTTTGATTTTATATAAACTTGATCAAATACTATAGTTTATTAATGCCTATAATTTGACATATTAGGTGTTCACCAATCATTACTATGGAAAACATTTGAGGCATCTGATTGGTCGAAATTAAGATATCTGATTAATTTGAAACTTGGTATGAAAGGCTTAGGGGAATGACAGATACAACGGTATCATTTTTTTGTTTTAAATGGTTGCAATGGTGTCCAAACTAGGTCTCATGGAGGAATCTTGTTTGGACAACCCCTCCTAAATCGTTGTTGATTTGGGAACAGCGATGGGGGTATTAATCAGCCATCCTGACAACAGTTCTGGTTTGATCTGTCTTAGTTTTATGCCAATGAAACCAAGGAAAGGAAAGAAGGGTTATATTTTTCTTGTCCGTCCGTCCCTCCATCTGTGGTCAGTTTGTCAGTGCCCCTGTGGCATGAAGGAATCTCATCACTTTCACACACTTATCAATCCTCAAAATATCTTGGACAAGTTTTGAGTTTTAGAGTTGTTGGGTCAAGGTTGTTGTTAACTTTTTTCAGAAAATCATTGTCAGTGCTCTAGCAGCTTCATTCCAGGAGGGATTCTCATCAAACTTCACACACTTATAAGGCATGAAATTATCTCAGACCACTTCAGGTTTCAGTATTGTTGAGTCATCAAGGTAATTTACTTGTGTTGGCATGTAGGAGTCATATGTTGCTTCAGCAATACTCAGTATGCTTATTTTCTTTCTTTGTTTCATCTAGTTATTACTTAAATACTTATGATTTATTCAATTATATCACATTTGTCAATTCAATGTATGTATAGGAGGGAGGTGTTTATACTAATGGTAAGTTCTAACAACTTGTTCCAAATCCTTCTGTCACTCTTCTTTTCGGAAAATAAATTGTATTAACTTGTGTTTTACATAAACATGTTTAAACATGAACATAATATTATTTTGTATTGCACAGGACTACGTCCAGACACTCTGTGTGCCTGAAGTAAGGGACTACATGAGGAACCTGCTATTAGCCCTGCGTCGAGTACACCAGTTTGATATCATCCATAGAGACGTCAAACCAAGCAACTTCTTGTACAACCAAAAAACAAAACAGTAAGAACCATTCACTTAACATACTAAAACAAGGGAGACATTCATTGTCTAAGGTTGTTTATGTATGTTATATGGAGGGAGGTTTTAGCCTGTGAGTCAGGAAACTGTTTTTTTGGGTATAAAACAAATAGATATGTCCTGTAACTGTTGCACAGTCTTGTTCGTCTGTTGAAGCATGTGTTTTTTGAGTAGTAGATAGATAATACAAATGTATGTCAAATTTGTAGCATTCAGAAATTGTCTCAAATGAAGTCCATTTTCAAAACCTTACATGTGTGAAATTATGTGTCATATCTTATAATCAGCAGTTTATTAATTAAGTACTGCTCAGTAAAACTGACCAAGCCAAAGTGTTCTTGTGGTTGACTCCTGAAGAAGTGCGAAGCAACAATGTCACTTTTGTATCATTTATATATCAATATTTTATGTTGTGAAAACACTTCCTTGAATAAACATTTTTATGCTTCAGTTACTAACAAAGAAATATTCTTTTTTAACCTTTCCAGATATGCATTGGTAGATTTTGGATTGGCTCATAAAGCTCCAATATCACAGGCAGACTTGGCAGAGAGTCACCGCAAGATATCACAGTCTACACCTGTCAGCAGTAATGGAAGTAATCCATTATCTCCTTCAAAAAGAAAAGTTCTCACTCCTACGCAGGAACTCAACTTAAAGGTAGATTGATAATTTTTAAAAATGATTAGATAAGTTTAATAAGCAGCATCCTGAAATCTCTGATCATAGCCAAACAGTGTTCCAGATTACAAGCTGTATTTAAGTTGTGTTTGGGACCCCAGAATCTTAGTAGACTTAGTCATTTAGGATTTGGTGATTGATAATTCTGGAGTTATTACCTTTACTTTTGAAATGAGAAGTTTGGATTTAAAGCCTCTGTGGAAAACAAACCCTTCAAAAGCTTGTCTTCTGGTGCCTTTTTTGGGGGGAAATAGAAACAATGCAAATAAAGGCCACTTTACATGCAGGAGATGGGCACTACAGCAACAGAGATATTGTCATGCATGTCAATCATAAAAAACACAACTATGCTGCCTTGCCATTGATATTGTCAAAATAAATATGATTTTGTTTTAAATTGTAGAACATTCAAGTAGATACAAGAAAAATCGGACAGACACCTTCACCAGGATTTACAAAGCTAGAACACTCACAGACAATAAAATGTCGGCAGTTCACTCCTCCTACTCCAGACATAGGCAACAAAGTTTTCACAAAAAGAGTGAAATCTCCACGCAGAATGCTTCTGGCAAAAAGAGCCTTAATGAAGGAAAGGGAAGGAACCCTGACAAGGGTTGGGTCATCACATCAGGGTCAGTCAGCGGGGTTGTCAACCTGTCAGTGTTTTGGACAACCTATAGTGTGTACCATGTGTACAGCCAGGTGAGTGTACAGCAGTCTTTATCAACCATGTGATAATATTTTAATGTCCTTATTTACCTATGTAGTTTTACGGTAAAGAATAGGTATTTATCCACAACTCATTCCTGAAAATTTTATTTCATCTAATCTGTTAATTCTACATGTGATTTCAAATTTTCCTTCTAATTTCATACTGATATGAAGTTTTAGTGCTGTAAATAGTGAATCATCTTTGTGTGGTATGTTGACACTGATTTCTGTTTCTTATCAGGAGTAACCAGCAGGCTCCAAGGGCTGGAACACCAGGCTTCAGGTCCCCAGAGGTCTTGATGAAGTGCCCAGATCAATCTACAGGTACACTGCAATGTACAATATGTCCCAAACATAGATTCTGGCTTACTCATTTCTCTAGTAGCATAAAAAAAGGGAGAGGATGAAAAATAAAGTGTTTCAAACAAATGCTATACTGATACAGTCAAAGTTCAATGTTTTAAAGTTCAAGGACTACTAAAACAACTATGATACATTGAGACTTCAAATCCTACATAGTGGTTTATAATGACTTTTGATGTTCATGGATATATATAATTGACGACAGGATATTTCTGCATGAACAAGCACATCAAATTCCAGAACACGAGTTCAAATGAAAAGATGTATTTTTTTCTTTAAATAAGACATTTTCATCCATAAAAAAAAGACACATAACTTTAAATAGAAATCAACGAGAAATCGATAATGCATGCTTACGTTTACATTCGTGCCTTCCTGTCACACAGTATGTGTATTTTATAGATCAATCTTAAGTGAAACAAAGCACAGCTTTAAAATGGTCTCAATTTTTTAAACATTTGGTTCATAAAGGGGTAAGTAAGTAGTAATATGTATGAATAAAAATTTAGACCAGACAAAAACTTTGATACATCAAGAAATTTAAATCATCAAAGTTCGATTCATAGAAGTTGGACTGTAGTTTTCTTGGAACTGCTCTAAAATGCCAGAAATTTATTAAGCTGAATAATAGAATGCTAAAAGTGTAAAAGCAATGTGTATGCTTTCAATAGCATAAGGATGATATTAAATCTAGATTTGTGTCATCAAAAACATTTGATGGATATATGTTTTACACTTATATAAATACAATTATAAACGGGGGCATTCATGTCTTTCAGGCCAAATTTTCTAGTTTGTGTGGAAATGGAAAGAACACATTGTCTGCAAAACAATTGTAATATCCTTGAATTTAATTTCTGTTTCAGCGGTGGACATATGGTCAGCAGGGGTGATATTTCTGTCCCTCCTCAGTGGCCGGTATCCATTCTTTAGGGCTAATGATGACCTGACAGCTCTTGCTCAGATCATCAGTATCATGGGCAGTGAAGAAGTGATAGCTTCCGCCACAACTTATGGTAAGTAAGGAATACACATCATCATTTTCTGTTAGAGACTTTTGTTTATGGTGCCTTGTCAGAGAAGGTGAAAAATATGCATGTCAGATTCTGCACAAACTGTTTTGTACCATTTTAGAACTTTTTCTAATGACTTTCGAAAATGGTATCAAAATATCTTTCCTAAGGTCAGTTTAGACAGGTAATATAGGTGGAAATATGCCTATGCCAGTATTAAAATTGACTTTTTAAATGTAACACATGGGGAAATCCTGTACATATATATGTAGAATGAGATTGAGTTTGGGTTTAAAAGGTCAACCTTGAAGGCTTTGATGTCAGAACCAAAGTTTATCAGAATAACACCAATAGTGAACTGACCAATGTTCAAGGTCACTCTCAAATGGTCAAGGTCAAAATTTTAATCATTTCATGTGTATACTGACACTCTAACTAAATGGTTAAATTTACCCATAAAGGTCAGACACAAAACCTGTCCCGTCTGACATGTCAGTGTTTTAGTTTGTTTTCCAGATAATCACTTAACTGAATTAGAGATGAAAAATTTGATTTAAACTTCATACAGTACTAGGCACAAGGGAGTGCATATAAACTTTTTTCCACATTATTTTCTGGTTTTTGCTTCGTTTCTGTCAAGATACTGGTTTTTGGCGGGAAGACTTTCTGTTGTTAAAATGAAACACCTGCCCTTTGCTTTCAAGGTCTATGACTCTTAGAAAATTTAATTAACAGCGGTGGACGAGTGTTGTAACACTTACTGTAAGCTTGTTTATGTGGTGAATTGAGGCATACAGTTTCTATAGGAGTAATTTTCTTAAGACTATCATTTGAAATCCTAACTTTTGTTATTTATCCCTTTAACAATCATTGTGTAGTTCCTGTATCACTTCCACACATAGCAAAACAAAATTCTGGTCTTTAAAAAATGGTAACAGTTGTGCATGAAATGTGAATAGATAATCAATATATTTACATAGATTTAAACATCATACACTTTATATGTGAAACCATGTGTAGTATAGCTATAACATTGTATAATACATGTATTGTCTCATCTTTTATTCTATGAAATCATAACTTATCTACTACCAGCACAAGCTTTGAATGGTATTGACGATTATTGATGACTAACAATTTATCTTTCAGGTAAGAATCTACTGTGTAATCCACCAACACAAGCTTTGAATCTAAAGAATTTGTGTAATAGACTGAGAACAGGTCCAAATTGTAGACAGAATCGTTCAAGTAGCAAAAACAATCAACAGGATGAAGTTAAATTCTTACAGTCCTGGGCCAGTCTTCCTGATTCAGCGTTTGATCTTCTTCACAAACTATTGGATTTAAATCCTTCCACAAGAATTACAGCAGAGGAGGCTCTCGTCCACCCTTTCTTCTCAGTGTCATGATAGCAGCATCTTATATTGTTAGTACTAATTATTCCTTCTGAAGGCAGCTCGTTATAATTGTCAACACTCAATACTACTATTTTCATTCTTAGAATTTTGTACTGCATTCATACTGATGAATTCAAACTTTCACAATTTTTTTTTCAATTGGTGGTGATTTTCCTGTTGTTGTAAGTTAAAAATATTTGGAATGAAACTTAAAGGATTTGGTTGGATCTACTTTGCTCTGTATTTTCCTAAATACAGTTGAACCCCCTCTAGTAAACAGGACCATGGGGAAACTTTCCTGTGGTATGCTGCACTGAATCTGGTGTACCATCATTTGTTTTCCTCCAGTATTTAGTCTACTTATCCTATTTTTCAAATTTTATTTTCGTACAGTTTTGTTCCTCTCAATTTTTTTTTTAGATAAATTCCAATTCCACATAAACATAGTGGTTTTAGAATTTTTTAGTAAGATTTATAATTATTTTCACATTTTTAAGATAATTATATTTTTGATGCATTTTGAACTTTGTGAAATAGACCTGAAAAGTATAATATACTGATGTTATTTCTAAAGAAACAGATTCAGGTATTATTGGACAATTTAAGTAAATATTCACATCAAAAATGTGTGTCTGCAGTATCATTAACCTTGCCTAAACAAATATTTGTGATAATTTAATCGAAGGTGACATAACATTTTACGATGTGTTGTGTAATTGTACACTGAAGTGGTATTTCTGATCTAGCCAGTTATTGATGAACAACATGATATGAATAACTGAACCTTTCTTTATTTCAACTGAAATATATATATTTAATAGGGAGAAATATTACATCTTGAATATTGTGTATACTCAAAACTCTACCAACCTTTGATGACTTGGATAAATATTAACCATTTTTTATAGATTGATGATGAATCTTGGCTTTAACACCACTATTGATGAGTTCTGATATTGATAAAGTTACCAGTTTGAGTTCAGTGCTGCTCTGTCAACACTTCCAGTGTCTGCTTTTCTTGTTTTTATTTATATGTAGGTATGTTATGCTAGTGTTGTCAAATCTGAAACATTTGAAAATGATATTGAAACACTGACTGGCATATTTTGGTTGATAAGGTCTCTCAGTGGTAATAGAAGAATTTGATTTTTATATATGAATGTGCAAAATGAAAAACAGAAAGGAAAAAAATATATAGATATATATTTTATCTAACTGTTTTTTACTTTAAATGTGTTCTTCAATTTGAATTCAGTACTTGAAGTTTAAAATGACCTTAAAAGCTGATGATTGAAATATATATATCTAGGTGGAATGAAATTGATCATTTTATGTTTACTAAGTGTGTAGTCCACTTTTTCTGATTGGAAATAGGATTGACATTACACCTCCTTTGTGCATGTATATGATATGAAAAGATGGGTGCTTTTTCAACCGTCACACTGTCCCATATAATATATTAATCACATAAATTGCAAGTTAAATTTATAATTAAAACTTTACAACTGAAATATCTATTGTTTTAGTTTTCTTGGTAAGATTGATGTTGATAACATCATGGGTTTATATATATGGGTATCTGAACACTCTTGTCTAGCCGTTGACCGGTTATGATATTGATGGGGTATCTTGTCTGAACAGACTGCCCTACGGCTTGACAGGATATGATATTAATTGAGTATCTAAGTCTGAATAGACTACCCTATGTCTTGACTAGATATGATATTAAGTTAATATCTGATCTGAATAGACTACCCTATGTCTTGACTAGATATGATATTAAGTTAATATCTAAGTCTGAATAGACTACCCTATGTCTTGACAGAATATGATAATAATTGAGTATCTAAGCCTGAACAGACTGTCCGATGTCTTGACTAGGTATGGTATTAATTGAGTATCTAAGCCTGAATAGACTGCCCTATGTCTTGACAGGATATGATATTAATTGAGTATCTTTTCGAACCGTCTGGTCTATGACAGGTCAAAACAAAGTTTAACAGTTCTGATTAATTATGGATCCAGTCAAGCAGGTTCTATCAATGATGATAGAAGCCAGGCAATGGAGAGGAAAATATGGACCATAATGTCATCCAATGATGGGCTAATCAACTCAGCTCTTTGATCATCCATAAAAACAAAGTTTAATGGCTATTTCTCGTAGTACCATATAGATTATTTGTCCAGCCTTGTACATCGTTTCCCTTCAGTTGCAATTATCCACCTTTTAGTATGTGTATTTAAGAGAGTGTTAATTCCATTGGATCAAAGTTTGTTAATAATACAGCAGGACTGGACAGATCTTTCATACTCCTAGTTTCATTACTTTTGCTTGTACATATGAAGAATTTATTGCCATGCAAAAGTTTGTTGTAGATTAATATTGCTATTTCTCAGTTGTGCTCCATTGATCTTTCTCAAATTTTGCTCATTTCTCCCTCCATCCTAGTCATGTAATCTCATTGGTGTATACTCAAGATTGAAATTTAGATTCATATTCAAACTTTGTTTCATTTCTATTGTAAAATGTTCTGTGGAACAACATGTTTTATAAAGACAAAGCAGTATTGCAAAAGGTCATGTTCGGAAGAAGAATGCCCTCTACGACATAGTTTCCAGTTTACTAAAGAAGACTTCCTCTTGTCATTGTTTCTATTGAAACATATTAGATGGACAAGCAGTTATTTAGTAAGACCTGTGTAAAACCAACAGCGGGACAAGATCAGTCTTTGTGGAAAGAAAGATATCCGGGATCCTGCTGGGATCTTTTATTCTGATCGCAAATATTTCCAACAATAACAACTTTCAACACTAAAAACTGAAACAGGTCTTCTTAAATCAACAGTGTTGTTCAAATTGCTCTAAACCCACGATCCGTCTTAAGTCTCTGCTTTTCGTTCATCTGAACAATTTTAGTTCAAGCTATTACTTGAAAAGATCTATAGGGCCTTGGACCCTTAGTTGTGAATATTGTGTGATCAGAAAATCACAATGACCGACAGGCGGACATCTTGGATTTTTTCAATCGCTTTTCACTGAGAAGCTGTGGATGAATTATCTCAGATTCCATAAGCAGGTTGTCCTTTATCCACAGATGGACATTGTTTTTTGGGGGGATGGTCGGAAAAATAAATGGCCGAAAGGCGGACATCTCGGATTTTTATATATTTTAATTTATCTCTTTTTCTTAAGGCCTGCAAGATGGATCAAGTTCAGATCTGATATTTGGGTTGGCCTTGGCCCCTAGTTGTTCACATGCCCCGCATATTGAGGATGAGTAGAAAAAACTTCATTGCCAACAGACGGCAATCTTGGATTTTGAAACTTAAATGTTTATTTTCTCATTCATAAGGGGCACTGAAAGGATCGTTCGCAGATATCATAATTTTAGGTTCGCCTTGTTCCATTGTTTTTTCTACGCCGCCGGAGGCAGTCGTATATTGGCGTCATCTTCTCCGTCCGTCCGTCCGTCAATTTCTTGTGAACGCAACTCCTCCTAAACTAATCATCACATTTTCATGAAACTTGCTAAATGTCACTACTACTATGGGTAGATGTGCATGAAGGAGCGAATTTTTGGTTCGTTGATTTTTGTGAGATTTGTGCCATTTTCAACTTTGTATCTGTAGCTTGCTCTAAGTGGAGCTTTGCATGTTAAAAGCTATAATTAAAAGGACCAATCTTGATCTTTATACTTTTGGCGGGGTATATTGTGGCCATGGCACCCTTGTTTCATAATCAAATGAAATAAATAGAAAATAGCTGTTAAAGAAAAATCACACATTAGTGAGGGCAAAGAGGAAACGTGCAAGGCGACCTTATATGACTTGCTTTCTTTAGATTAGAAATTCAGACACATCGTAGTACATACCATTATTAAAATCCATTACTTTTATACCATAATGGTACACCAAAGAGCGGAAAATTCAATAAACAGTTTTATTATCTAGCAGCCTGTGCATCTCTTTTCCAGAATAATCTCACCATCACTTTATGCACAGCAGTGATGTAGAACTAGGCAACCATGAGTTTAAAAAAATTACGTGTTGTTCATCAATCTGTTGTAAAAATAAATGAAAAATAAACAAAACATTCAACTGCGAGTAATTTTTTACCTTTTCCGTAAAGTCCAAAAGCTATGCTTTTCTATAACTCTCAGTCCCTATATACGTGTATATCTAAATTCTAATTTAATGCGTAAATAATTATACGAAACATTAAAACTCGCTATAATTTGGAAAACTTTAGATTTCGTGTGCCACTTACTAACGGATGTATCTTGCTCTACACTACATACCAACTGTTTGTAATTAAAATCTGATAATGTTATAATGCTATAAGCCGCCAAACGAGTTCTACATATTAGCAATAATAATAATATGATCAAGCGCTGATGAAGATGATAGACGATAAGATGCTTGGAGCGAAATGTGCGCCTATTGTTGATTTCACCGAACCGCGATGTAGATTTCCTCGTGGTCATGCCCGGCCGATTTCGGTTTCGGTTTTGAAGAGGTGTGCATTTATAATTAAGCAATATTTGATCCGATCTGTGTACATTAGAATAAGGATAAATTTAATTGACTACCTGCGGTAACAGGTGTTTCTACGACCAGCATCAGAGAGGTAGCTCAGGTATGCAAAGCCTTGTCACCTTCCGATAGTCACAAATAAAATACACATAACTAAAGAAAAAAAAAGTTTGATAATAAAAACAATATCAAGATGCGTTAATTTTACCCCTCATTAAGATTAAACACTTGAACTTTATTCAGTAACATCTGCAGGTATTAATCTTGCAGAAATTATTTTGTTACAATCATCCGTGAAACAGTAAGTTAACCGATCTTGGCAAATTTGAACCCCGATACATAAATGAACATATTATGTGAGATAACAGATTCTCTCGTGCTCAGTACGCATGCATACACAATTTGAGTATCGGTGGAAAACACTGAAATCTGTCGCCAGTTAATCTAATTCACCATGTTTAAAGAGTGAAACTCTCTGCGTAAGTTCTTGTTGTAAAACGGTTCGAAGGAAATCGGACAGACGGAAAAACAGATCGGACAGTCTGACGGACAAAAACAAAAAGGTAAGTAATTGCGTAATAATTATTTTATATAGTTTTTATTTGTGTCTTTTTTAAATCATAAATTAGTTCTGTTTTCTGAATTTTGCGAACTTCATGGAAAAGAAACTTTAAAGTGCAATAAATTACTTTCAGTCTATTGTTTTAAGTCAATGAATCAGACAAAGAATCTCAATTAAAAGACTCTTGTTTACTAACTTAAAATCTGACACATTGCGAAAGAAATATCCTATTGAATCGATTCCAACCAGCGAAGAGTAATATAATTTCATATATCCCATCAACTACATAAAGTCTTAGACATCAATCTATATATTTTATTAGTTCTAATTTTTCTCTCCCTCTCTCAAATACAATTTATATTTCTGGATTGCTTTGTTCTGTTTTTGGAAATGCGACTTTACTGATTGTAAGTTACAGCAAATCTTGCAAAACCCTTAATATGGGATAAAAAAAAGCAGGGTTTCGTGATGTTCTTCATTTCTGTGGTTAATTGTTTAAAATATGAATATGAATATCATATCAAAATATCTTATTGTTTGTTTACTTTTACATTTCAATATGTGCAGTTTGAAAAAAACTACTCCGTTATATATAATTTCTATCATCATGGGATGGGTGGGGGTTGGTCGACTGTGCATATAGATAAAGATAATAATACAAGATATACATTTACTTAACATACCCAAGACAAATTAAGGTAACAAAATGAACGGGTGTAGGGGGGAATGAAAACATTAGGAATTACCAGAAAGATTTTTTTAATAAACAAATTTTGTTTATATGAATTGATTGTGTGTATATCTGAAGATGTCCGAAAAGAATTTATCAAGGAGACATTGCCTAAATTATTTTTTATAACTTTTTGATCATTAATATATGTTGAACTGTCATAAGGTTCCATTCAAACTTTTTTTATTCAGAAAAAGACCTGAAACCCGACATTAAGGTCGACTTATAATCACATTGAATTAACATCGTGATAGGAAAATAAAGATAAATACATAAAGAAATAAATAGATAAATAAATAAAACAAAAGCCAAGAGCATTCGATTAAATTTTGTCAATATTTTTGCATAACATAAGTAACGAGAGGGAATATGTTTTGTGTAAAATTGTTAACCATTACTTCAAAGAAGACTTTAGATAGTGAATTCTCCCAACAGTAATGATAAAGTAGGATATGTATAAACAGTCATTGTTGTTTCCGGGACGTCACAAATGGAAGTTTGGAGAAAGGAAAGTAACGAAAAACGGCTTTTTATTCGTTGTTATTGAAGGTATTGAAGAGTTTTTCTTATTTCTGTTGTCGATTTTTTTTCATAGCCATATCCAAAGTTTTATATACAATTCAGTTACGTGTCGATGTTATTACTTGGTAATAAAAACATTCTTATTTAGGAAAGAGTTCGAACTACCCAGATGGTTTAGAGATAAATAATGAATGAAGAGAAAGTAGATCATGTTTTATTTCTTTATTCTATCTATTTATTTGTTATCATTATTATTATTTGCGAGAAAAGAAAATGGTTCGAGTTAAGTTTGTAGAATTCCAAATCTGATATCACACTTCGTAAAGAACCATTAATTGCGTCAATTGAAATTCAAGATTTGTCTTGATTGGATATGTTTGTTATTGGGCGGATCATTTCAGGATTTAATGGACTGTTAATGAGGTAAAACTAAAAATGTGTTGTTTTAATGATTAAAAACAGAATAAACAATAGCAAGGTAGGAGCATATGGCAGATAAGTATGTCATAATGTTGATTAAAAATGCTTAAATAACATTGTAGAGGAAAAACAACATATGAAACACAACAAAACGCTACAATCAATTAGTGTTAAGTGGGGATGAAGGAGGATGTGGGTTGCGCATGCGTATTCCAGGTGTGCCGTGACGATTGATGAGTATATACGGGTCTTTGGCCAGACATACATTTAATATCTAGGTACGGGCTGGTTCTTTGATCTATCGCATTACAAAACTAAAAATTAATACGACATTTATGGGAATAAATGACGGATAATGACATTAAATACGGCCGGTAAAACACGGCGCGGTGGAAACCCAAAGAGGCGTGAAAATTGTATGAATATGAACAAATGAATAAACATCATTGAGATGTCTGGTCCATTTTATTCTATTTTAGAACTTAAAAAAGAATCATTATCATATATCACTGTTATTTCGTTTTGATCCATTTTCAGATGAATGTGTTCCCCCAGTCCACATTCCCTATGTTTCCTTTGATGAAGAGTTTTGACCCAGCACAGTCTCTTCTCCGGCCGGTCGGTCTTCAATCCCAAGGGTCACAGACAAAATGTCACCAACCAAAGACATCGTCAAGTTCACATTTTCCCAGTATCCTTGGTGAGTGTATCAACATGTTTGTATCGACTGATCTGGAAATTCTTTTGATCACATAAACATTTATTTATTTATTATCTTACAAAATCTTGTCCAAAACAAATATAGATAATTAATGTCATGAAGTCCTTCAATAATAAGAATATGAAAAGTCCACAGTGCAAAAAAGACAACAAAAAATGAAACTCAAAGTCAGCTCAGCATGTAAAGGAAATCAGTTGGTGAGTTATGACAAAAATATAAAGTGCAAAATATGAAGTATTGAACTCGAAAACTTAAAAATGGCAAATAACATGTGGCATGATTTAAAAAATAAATAGAAAACAAGCAGTTTTTAATAGGTGTTTCACGGACGACTAGGCAGGCACGTTTCACGGGCGATCAGACACGTGTAGATGTTACAATATAATTATGAAGCAAGGTGGGAGTGAGTGGGGAAAATGCTTCTTTATTTTGTTCTTATGGGATGCCTGTGGGTATTTTTCTACAAAGTTTCTACGGCGACAAAATTTCAGACTTGATTTACAAATTATCCTGTAATTATTAGTAAATGAAAAGTTTTCCCCGTTACAAATGAGCGAAGAGAAATCAGTATACACTGTGTGTTATCTGATCCAGAATCCCCTGTAATGCCAATAAAACATCAGGATGTTACAATTTAAATTTTGGTTAATTAATTGCTACGCCATTGCAAGTACCCGTATCGTTGAAGTGTAAATCTTTAATTATTATGCACACGACACTGTAGCAACAGTATTGCCTCTGTTCACTGGCAATCAGCACGAGACAAGCACGTGCCGTTGCAACAGATTTAGCCACAAAATATGTTTTTTCATTATATGTTTCAAATGTTTCAATTTCACTTGGTGACATGAAGTTTAATTCGTCAATATGTGGCATAGTTAATGAAAAATTTGACACTAAAGCACCTCTACCTCTCCCAATAGTTACATGGATTCGGTGTCATCAGAACGCTTGTATTGCACAGTGTCGTTTACCTGTCAATGGACACTTAACACCAACTTTTCCACATCTGCTTGACCTCGTTTGAAAGTTAATGAACCACGACATCCTGTTATCAATACCACTACTGAAACTAACTACTCAGTTCAATTCAGTTCGCTTTAATCCGTATGCAAATAACGTATAGGATTACATATTAAAACATACATATTGTAACACAATTTTCTACAAGTTAGCGGAGAACATATGCCACCATATATTTACAAAAAACCACGAATAAGACATAACACTCTTCGTCATAACAATTAACCTCAACAGCAAGTGGGCTTATGAAATACCATAAGTCAACAATATCCGATTTGTACCAGTGTAGAAACTGATGTGCACTATTTTACCTCATCACAGGTAGTGATTAGGTGAATTTATACGTATTTTCAATTTTCGGAAGTATTAATTTTTAAACACAATTCATCTGACATAACGCATTGAAACTAAAGAAATAGTGTTAGGAAGGGGTCAAGGCCAAGGAGTCGTGGATTATCACGCCGGAGACCTTGGTTCGAGTTGTGTCAGAGCCCCGTTTACTTCTGTCCTGTTATGGGGGAGAAGAACTTATTTATACACCTGTGAATATCATTCTGGAAAGCTTAAAAGTAAGGGGTCAACTAACAATGGTAGTTATTTATCTATAAATGGCATTGCAGCATTATAAAACTGGTACATGCTATAGTTACAGTAAAACCGTGTAATTTCTCCACGAAGCAGCAACAATTGAAATAAGTTAGTATGGAAGAAGTTTAAGTTTTTTATACATGGGAAAGTCCTTTTTATATAAGTGGTATGTGGTTTAAAAGAACCACGAGGAAATGCATTCTTTCTTGGGTAGTTGTATCCATGGTATCAGTTCTATATTGGTGTTCCCAATAAATAAATAACGTAGATAAATCCTGTATTTATCTTGTATACATCATGAAACATTAGGACACGAATTTTTATTGTCTCGCTAAATCAATACTTCGGGTATAATTCCTGTTTTTTGGGGTTTTTTTTCAAATCAAAGAAAATTGGAAACAATTTTAGTGCTAGAAACAGAAACATAAAGAAAATGATGTTGTATTTTCAACGGCATGTATTCTCCTCTAGATCTGTCCCGATTTTAGTCATCTGAATATTTTTCATGTTACATTTTCACAGCACCCTATTGTGACCCGATGTTAAACCTACGTCGTCCCTCTACGATCGGCGGCAGCAAACCGAAGGTAGCGACCCCTAGCGTGGTATCAAAGATCGAACAATACAAACAAGAGAATCCCACTATCTTCGCCTGGGAAATTCGAGATAAACTTCTAGCGTCAGGTAAGGTGATGAAACGGGTTCCTTCATTTTCCACTTATGTTTTATAAATATGTAATCTGTCTACCCTAATTAGTTCTATCGGTTGCAGGATATCTTCGGGATCATGAAATGTTGTAATAACATGTGTTTCAGCCGTAATCTGAAGACTTTAGTTGGTCCAAACACTTCATTTTGTTAGAATTGAAAAAAATACAAATTTATCAGCTGCAAAACACCATTCCCGTTTTAACAGTATGTTCTTGACAAGTGGTTCTATACTCATATTGGATGTTTGTCGTCTGTGTCATTAATGGAAATTAAATATTGGTGATTTTATCAGCTACCCATAAACAAATTCTACAACTGTAGTATAATTAGTTTTCCTTGTCGCTGATGGACCACCTGGCTACGACATAAGTTCTTCATCGACACGACTGTGTTGGAAAACTATAAAAAGCGATGTGGTTTAAATGTGGAAAAACTTAAAGAAACATGCAACATGCTTTCAACTACACGAGTTTAATATTCAATGACATGTTGTTAAGAGTTTCCGCATCTTAAACATCAATTAGATTGCAAAGAATATAGATTAATAACTAGATATCACACACTAACGCTCTTTTACATACCCGGATGTGAGATAAAAGAAACTATTTCCGCTTTTTCAACAATGTGTTCATAATCGCGAATTAATGTTTTCGTTGATATAAAGGACGATTTTAGATATCATCATTGATATTTAACTATAAATTGACTTCTTCTCTGATGAAATCATCACCAGAATGTGTTTCCGCATGTAGGGTGATTACTGTATTCTAAAATATCACACACAATGATTATCTTCATTAACACACCTTCTTTCTGGATATCTTTTCCGTTATTTCATTTCAATTAAGTCTTGGAAAAATGCCTTGAGAATGATATGTATTGACATACTTAGATTCCTGTTAAAAATTCGACCGTGTAATTTTTATTTCAATCCAGCTGATCGAATTTAAAGCATGTGTTTTTTGGTTGCTGTCTGGATCTACGCTTTTTTAGCTAGGAGATAAGGCAGATTATCATTGTACTAAATCTACAGAGAGCACGCTACACACGCGGGGACTTAAGAACTTAAAAATGATTACATGTGAATTTTGGCCTATTACAAGATGTTTCTAAAATGTTTTAATAAAGTGTTTTAATGGTAAAAATGACACCCTTCAATTATACACAGCCTCAGGAGATAGAAGTGTGAAGAATAATAGTAGATAGCAAAAGTAGTAATAGACTTCTATTATACACAGCCTCAGGAGATAGAAGTGTAAAGAATAATAGTAAGTAACAATAGTAGTAATAGACTTCTATTATACACAGCCTCAGGAGATAGAAGTGTAAAGAATAATAGTAAGTAACAATAGTAGCAATAGACTTCTATTATACACAGCCTCAGGAGATAGAAGTGTAAAGAATAATAGTAAGTAACAATAGTAGTAATAGACTTCTATTATACACAGCCTCAGGAGATAGAAGTGTGAAGAATAATAGTAAGTAACAATAGTAGTAATAGACTTCTATTATACACAGCCTCAGGAGATAGAAGTGTAAAGAATAATAGTAAGTAACAATAGTAGTAATATACTTCTATTATACACAGCCTCAGGAGATAGAAGTGTAAAGAATAATAGTAGATAACAATAGTAGTAATAGACTTCTATTTTTGACTTTAATCTTGCGCTAACAGGATTTATGTGACACCGACATTATTTCAATAACCATTATTTGTTTAGATACCAGGTTTTATTTGAAAACATATCATTTAAGGTAAAACATGCATGAGCACAAACGAGAAAAAAGCAGTGAGGAGTTAGTGAATACTCACGTGTTATTTCATGTCAACTCACCAAGTGTTATTCCATGTCCACTGACCAAGTGCTATTTCACGTTCACTCACCAAGTGTTATTTCACGTTCACTCACCAAGTGTTATTTCATGTCCACTCACCAAGTGTTATTTCATATCAACTCACCAAGTGTTTTTTCATGTCCACTCACCAAGTGTTATCTCATGTCCACTCACCAAGTGTTATTTCATGTCCACTCACCAAGTGCTATTTCACGTTCACTCACCAAGTGTTATTTCATGTCCACTCACCAAGTGTTATTTCATATCAACTCACCAAGTGTTTTTTCATGTCCACTCACCAAGTGTTATCTCATGTCCACTCACCAAGTGTTATTTCATGTCCACTCACCAAGTGTTATTTCATGTCCACTCACCAGGTGTTATTTCATGTCCACTCACCAAGTGTTATTTCATGTCCATTCACCAAGCGTTATTCCATGTCCACTGACCAAGTGCTATTTCACGTTCATTCACCAAGTGTTATTTCATGTCCACTCACCAGGTGTTATCCCATATCCAATTGTAGTTTTGTTCGAAATTTTCTGGTCACGCTTCAGTGATCATTACGTTTTGTGTGAAGTATTGATATTTAGATTTGATTTTTTAACAACTGGATATAACAAGGATGATATTGTGTAGTGTTGGTCTTTATCTAACATCAAGTGAGCCCTACCACTCATGTAAATATACAACATTTTCAATATTTATAAACAGCTTTCAATTACAAAGAAAAAAATATTTATTGATCAACGGAACCAGTTTCAAAAATATTAAACACACCAGGTAAAGAAAAAAATCATTAAGTTAGAAAATAAGATTTCACCATACATTAGTTATTAACAGGATGAGTTTAAAAAAAAAAAAAAAAAAAAACCCATTAACAAACATGTGTTATTCCACAAAATGTTCGATCCAGGAAACAACCTCACATTTTGTTGTATTTTTTTCTGATGTAGGAATTTGTACCCAGTGTAACCTCCCAAGTGTCAGTTCTATCAACCGGATATTACGTAACCGGGCAGCAGAACGAGCGGCCATGGAGTATGCCCGTTTTGTCAGTAGATCACTATATCCGGTTCCGTATCCTCCGATGTGGAGTATACCAACCCAGACGATTGAGACCCCACCACGAGTTCCGGTAATCCAGACACAATCCGAAGAGGACACCAGCGACATTGACCCTGAGAAAGATGACCCCGATATCGACGGTAAGTAAAAAAAATCTTTTAGTAAAGGGATCTACCCTTAATCCACCGCGATTTCAAATAAAACATACATTTTTCGTTGATTTATTTGTATTGGTTTTTTTTCACTAACGTTTTCATGTTTCTTGTTTGAAGTTGAGGACAATTCGTCGGATCACGCAGACGACCCCGATGATGTGAACTCCCAGCCACAAAAGTTGCGTCGTAACCGAACGACGTTTTCGTCGGAACAATTGGACATCCTCGAACGGGAGTTTCAGAAAACACACTACCCTGGTGTAACGACACGTGAAGATCTGGCTAAGAAAACAGGTCTTTCCGAGGCCAGAGTACAGGTAAGAAATGCCCTAATACTAACATAATCTACAGGAGACCGCGGGCGCTACAAAATTATCCGCAATAGCTAGAGACGGGTAGCAAGCAAATGAAACGGACAAATACAATTTTTTCTCAAAAAAAAAAAAAAAACAGACACGGGCGTACCCAAAATATGTCAAATGATATAGAGACGGACAACAAATGAATTCATTCATTTAACACTTCTGTAGACAGGCGTAATCAAAGCATCAATAAGTGCTAGAACAGGGCGTAACCAAAGCATATATCACTGCTAGGACATGGCGTAACTAAAGTATAAATAAGTACTAGAACTGGGCGTAATCAGAGCATTTATTAGTGCTAGAACAAGGTGCAGCCAAAGATTTACCAGTGCTAGAACAGGGTGCAGCCAAAGATTTACCAGTGCTAGAACAGGGTGCAACCAAAGTATTTATCAAGGCTAGAACAGGGCGTAACCAAAGTATTTATCAGTGCTAGAACAGGGCGCAACCAAAGTATAAAAATTTCGACTGGACAAGGAAAACTCCTTTTTAGGGACCAGACGTAAAGCATTCAACTACAGTTTCATTAATATCTTTGTCCCAGGCACTTTTGAATCGTCGATGCAATATTTGTTTTCAGAAACATGTAATTATGTCGAGTTGTTAGATTACTTAATATCCATTTTCAGAAAAAAGATAGAACATATGTTATTCTAACTCATTAACTTTTCTGCTGACAACAGTTTACGAACAATTTATAAATTGAGGTGCACGTGCCTGAAACCGTTTTAGCCATTCACTAGCCGGACATTCCCTCTGGTGTGAGGTCAAGTAAAGTCATTCACACGTCGGCCACCGGACAATTGATACATGCATATGTAATTAGCAACTTATGGTCATTCGCTGCACAATTGCTCAAAGAGTCACAAAACACGCGGATCTGTTTGATTCTGTTTGATGAAATATACATTTGTGGATATATAATCTAAAATAGGCATACATTTAAATATTTTATGTATTTTTCTTTTATTGCTTTGACTGTTGACAGTAAACATGTTGTATTGTAGTTTGTCGTTAGTACTCGAACACTGACTCAAATAAACATAAACGTTATGGTAAATAATATATTTGTATAATTTAATGATGTACTTAGTAAGATTATATGGCCAATTAGAAATCAATATCCACGACAGGCTCCGGATCACAACAACCCACTGAGCGCACCTGTTTCATCCTCACTTACTGATATAAACGATCCAGTGATACACTCATCCGGTCGAGAAATTCAAATCCGACAGTCATCAAACCACGTGTGTCGAACATGATTAATAAAATTGTAACGAAAGTAATTTAAACAGCGATATCTACTTTGTAAAAATGTAAAATGATTTGAAATGAGATGGTACTCTATATGATAATGCGACGAATAAACACTCATTTCCAATTCTAAGATAAGAATATTATGTTAAACTGGACAACAGATGCGGTTATGACACTTCAGAATCATTTTATACAACGTTACAAAACTCTAATTCTCAATACGATATATCCGAGGCCATCAAATCTAACGTCGTAAAAACGTTAAAAGTGAAAAGCTGGTGATTCAACTGGGGAAAATGTCGGCGACGTTGAGATCAAAACAAACGAAAGGTTGCTTGTGTCCTCTCGCTAATAACGCAAGGATCTGGAAACTTTTTTTACCTCTAAAAACGTCTATGCATATATCAGAATATGTCCAAATATACATGTTCTCAGTTTCCAGTGGGTAATATTGGATAGTTCCTTTTCAAATTAAATATGAAAGGTATGACGTTTTGCATTTATCAATAACAACGTCTCTAAGCTACAAAATACCTTGGTAATTTGTCGTTTGATACGTGCCATGTTGAAATTTGCCTACTTGGCTATCCAGCTTTAGCGACTGGATATGATATTTTGTTCAATCAATGTTTGTTTTATGTTTAGGTTTGGTTTTCGAATAGAAGAGCCAAATGGAGGAGAAGCCAGCGTTTGACCTTCCTACAAAATACCACACGTGCTTTGCTGACGTCATATCACCCTTTGAATCTCACAACGTCATCTAGAGTAACAAAGACAGTCTCGGCAGATTCCTTCCAAACTCTACATAAACCAGAAACGGAGGATCAGGACTCCAACAAGAAGTCTCCTATCGTTAATATTGGAAGTGAAGACTCTGCTTTCACGCGGGTGCCTAGCGCGGGAATCTGTGCTGTTACTAAAAGTGATTCAGACACAGAAATCGAAGTTTAAAAAAAGAAAATCCAGAATTTTTGACTTTTTGATTGGAAATGCATGTAATTTTAATTCATTACATAGAATGTTTCAAATCATATTTTGCCATAGTAATAAGTTTGTTTGTTTTTGAAAACTAAGATTCAAATTCAGTACTTTTCTATATGGAGGAACAAAATTGGACCATTTCGACAAACAGCGAATGCCTATAGATCATTCCTTTATTTGTATCACGTTTTTTAAAGATCTTTATAACATTGGTGCAGACAGACACTAAGTACAAACGCTGAACACAGAGTTAAATGTACCGTATAGTTGGGTGAATTCGTGTTGTCTTGGTTTCCATTTTCCGGGACAAAAGAAGCATTTATACCAGGGAAAGAATTACTTATCAATACTCCTGTATCAGACGTCCATTTTGGATTCCAGTAGAACATTACGGCTAAGCGCATTGAGCCTGGCCCAGATCTAAGAGGCGAGGTAGAAAAACAAAATACACTTCAACAATTATTATTAATGTAGAAGAGGTGAAATAATTTGAACGGGTTCCATAATTGATTAGAAGTTAAAAGTAGCTTGTCTGTTAAGGTCTTAATGCAACTAAAATAACTTCATGTAAATATAACGTACAGATATAATAAAATGTCTTCGGAGTGTAAGCATTAAATCTACTCCACATTAACAAGAAACTTCTAACACGACCCGTATTCTCGTTAGAGATATATGTAGATAATGAGACACACGGAGAGTGCTTTAGATGCAGATACTTTGAATTTAATGTAAATGGTGGTTTTAATATATAATGTCAACATATGTCAACTTGTCTTTGTTATTATTCCGTTGTGAAATATTATATCGTGGTATATTCGTGCGACTTAATAAATTTTTTTAGAAATACCTGGACCAAAGTATCAGTGAGTATGGCATCCAGCCATTTTGCGTACCAATTCCCTGCGATACAGTTTGGGTAAAGAATAACTTATTTAGTATAGCGGATGGTTTTGTGCTAAATAGGGATAAATGGTGGCACCATGGAATGAAACTTATTTGATTAGGTAAATGTATTTTTACTTAAACGGAATTCAATTTTCTTTGAAAATAACAGTTTGGTGTCTTAGGGAATATAAAGCGCATCCAGTCCCGATACTACCCCAATGCGGTCAAAGGGAATTTGGCAAACAAAAGTGAAATCTTGACGGAGACACGCGGGACGGACCAAGTATTTTATCAACTAATATCAATCTTTGGTGTTGAGCTATAAATTAAAAGGCCAATCACAATTTCAGTCAACACTAGGTCAGTTACGATCTTAACAGGCAACACAAGATTAGTCATCTCAGGCAAGACTAGATCAGTCAGCATCTTAGGCAACATAAGGTCAGACATCATCTCAGGCAACATAAGGTCAGTCACCATCCAAATCAACACATGGTCAGACATCATCTCAGGCAACATAAGGTCAGTCACCATCTAAGACAGCACAAGGTCAGTCATCATCTCACAGTCAAGGTCACTCATCGTCTAAGACAACACAAGGTCAGTCACCATCTCAGGCAACATAAGGTCAGTCACCATCTAAGACAACATAAGATCAGTCATCATCTCAGGCAACATAAGGTCAGTCAGCACCTCACTTCCTCAACAAGGTCAGTCAGCACCTCACTTCCTATACAAGGTCAGTCACCACCTCACTTCCTATACAAGGTCAGTCAGCACCTCACTTCCTATACAAGGTCAGTCACCACCTCACTTTCTATACAAGGTTAGTCACCACATCACTTCCTATAAAAGGTCAGTCACCACATCACTTCCTATAAAAGGTCAGTCACCACCTCACTTCCTTTACAAGGTCAAGTCACCACTCCTCACTTCCTACACAAGGTCAGTCACCACCTCACTTCATATACAAGATCAGTCACCACCTCACTTCCTATACCAGGTCAGTCACCATCTCACTTCCTATACAAGGTCAGTCACCACATCACTTCCTATAGGTCAGTCACCACTCCTCACTTCCCATACAAGGTCAGTCACCATCTCACTTCCTACATAAGATCAATCACCACCTCACTTCCTATACAAGGTCAGTCACCACCTCACTTCCTATACAAGGTCAGTCACCACCTCACTTCCTATAGGTCAGTCACCATCTCACTTCCTAAATAAGATCAATCACCACCTCACTTCCTGTACAAGGTCAGTCACCACCTCACTTCCTACATAGATCAATCACCACATCACTTCCTATACAAGGTCAAGTCAGCACCTCACTTCCTATACAAGGTCAGTCACCACCTCACTTTCTATACAAGGTTAGTCACCACATCACTTCCTATAAAAGGTCAGTCACCACATCACTTCCTATAAAAGGTCAGTCACCACCTCACTTCCTATACAAGGTCAAGTCACCACTCCTCACTTCCTACACAAGGTCAGTCACCACCTCACTTCATATACAAGATCAGTCACCACCTCACTTCCTATACCAGGTCAGTCACAGTTTCACTTCCTATACAAGGTCAGTCACCACATCACTTCCTATAGGTCAGTCACCACTCCTCACTTCCCATACAAGGTCAGTCACCATCTCACTTCCTACATAAGATCAATCACCACCTCACTTCCTATACAAGGTCAGTCACCACCTCACTTCCTATACAAGGTCAGTCACCACCTCACTTCCTATAGGTCAGTCACCATCTCACTTCCTAAATAAGATCAATCACCACCTCACTTCCTGTACAAGGTCAGTCACCACCTCACTTCCTACATAAGATCAATCACCACATCACTTCCTATACAAGGTCAAGTCACCACCTCACTTCCTACTTACAAGGTCAGTCACCACCTCACTTTCTATACAAGGACAGTCACCACCTCACTTCCTATACAAGGTCATTCACCACCTCACTTCCTATAGGTCAGTCACCACCTCTCTTCCTATACAAGGTCAGTCACCACTTCACTTCCTATACAAGGTCAGTCACCACCTTACTTCCTTTACAAGGACAGTCACCACCTCACTTCCTATACAAGATCAGTCATAAAATCACTTCCTATACAGGGTTAAAAGAAAAGATCAGTCTAAAAATATGTTTACTTCATTTCAACTGTTTATATCTGAAATTGTCACCATTTTTCAATAATCAAATACGTACCAATATCATTTTTGATAACTTTTTTTATTCAATATTATGAGTCAGCAGATGAGATGAATTTATTGATGAACTAGACAGTAGATGACATGAACCTACTGATGAACTAGACAGCAGATGACATGAATCTATTGATGAACTAGACAAAATATGACATGAATCCATCACTTTTATGGAATGCTTTGTACATCTTTTTATGTACCTGTATATTGATTTAGTAATTCAGATGAAAACAACTTAGTTTCTAATCATGAATGCATTGCTACAATTTGAATTGATAAACATATTTTTATATGAATCAATGCACTTGACAAGCTCTAATCATAACAATTTGCAATAATATAAAAAGAGGTGCCATAACTTCAGAATTCGAGATTATTTTCACTCTACTGAGTTTCTGACTCAACAGAATTTTAAAAACAAATAAAAGAGTCACGTAGAGAAGTGAAGAAAGTAGACGCACCACAGCTGGTCTCAAGTTCCCAAAGTCTCTATACATTCTTATAAAAACTATGATGCAAAAGTAAGCACACATGCCATCACAAATAAACAGCGGAGTGAATGCTTCCCACCAAGTCAAACGCATAATATTTTCATATTTCAGGACCGAAAACACTGAGAAAACAGCAACAGACATCATATGCATCCAGATTTCAAATGAAGTTATACCCAGCCATTTTACAATTTCTTTAAGTGTGAAAAACATAATTTATGTTTTTATATTTTCCTTCTTTGGAATATGTTTCGTTTTCAGTATTGATGCTCTTTGTTTCCTTCTAGAAACAAATTATACACATTTAGTCTGGAAGAGCAGCAACCAGGTGAAGCACTGAATTACACCAAGAAAATCCAATTATCTTCATTTCATGTTTCTTAGCATCATCTTGATTATGAAGAGTGTATCATCCAAAAGCATTAAAATGCTCTTTGTTTCCTTTTAAAACCAAATTATACACATTTATTCTGGAAGAACAGCAACCATTTAATGCTTCTTAGCATCATCTTCATTCAGCAGAGAGTATAATCCAAAAGCATGAAGATAGCAAGTTAAAGATAAAGTCACAGTCTTCTCTTTTGCTGTTGATCCTTTGTCATACATATTTTGATGGCACCTTCAGAAGACCAGGATCAAATTCTATTGATTGAAAAAAAACAACATGAATATTGATTAATATTCAGCAACATAATGCAAAATAAAGTAGTTTAAACAATTTATTTGCTTTTAAATTATATTTTCCACGTCAATATTATTGCCTTCCTGTGAGGTGGTGTAAAGACAATTACATATTAAATTATATTGATTATTAGTATTTACAATATCCATGACACAAGATTTTGTGAAACTAAACCCAAAAGGAACATTGCATGGCATATATATCAGGTTGGTGTTTTAAAATAGTTTTCCTTTACTTTGATTTTGAACTTTCTGAAAAACAGTGATTTGGAAAACTTAAGAAAACAAAGAAATTTTTCAAAAAGGAAAATCAATTACGCCATGTTGTTTATAATGAACAAACTGGTGTTTAAGAAGAAGTCTTGCAAAATCAAATCAATCTTCATATCATATTCATAAGGGTATTTTTTTTAGCATAAAGCATAATGGTTATCTGGAGTAATGGGTAACAATACTGTTGTCTACATAAGTAGTTTGTCTCTCTCAAACCAAATCTTTTAACATGTTTAAAAGCATTACCTTGGCAGCTTTCAGCGAGGGAACTGGGGCTACATAATACTGAACATAACATGTGATGATGTCATGTATTCTTTTAGTTATTCTATAGATACTGATGATAACCAATGTGATTCAGGACATATATAATGTACTCGTGTTCTATTTAAAGCCACATAATCGATGGAGGTGAT